GTTAAATCTTATGAAATAATAAACAGTTGTCATATTCATGATATGTTGTAGCACCATACAATGAGTGTGGAAAAATATCAAGGAACTTCCCCACTTGAACAAAACACTGTGTAACTTTAAATTGAATTTAAAAAAAATGATCATTGAGAAAGAAGTTGATGTTGAGGAATTAAAAGCTACCTCTTATTGGCATATGAATGTTCACGAGTTGCAAAATGAATTTATATACTTTAAAGTGTCTATATAATTACACTTTAATGTCCTTCAAACAATAAGAAAAATATTTTATAAGCGGGCAAGCAAGTAAGCAACATACGGTAAGCATGAAATGAAAAACAATTTTTTTTCAACCTCTATCTTTGTCTCACAAACTGACACTGAATTACGACTATATTTACAAAATAGATAAAATGTGAAAAAAAGTTGAGAATTTTTTTGCAAAATAAAAAAATTTCGCGTGTATGACATTACCTAATTTGGTGTACATGTGAGAAAGAGATTGCTATTAATTAATTTCAATTTATGTGCAAATTGTACAACAAAGCGATACAACTGTACGATAGATCTCGCATCATTTAGATGAGACAAAAAAAAAACAGAACACAATTCGCAACACACACGACAAAGCGTAGATGGAATCTAGGGGGAAATTAGCGCAGTACAATAGGATGTTGTATAGTATCAAGACGAGGATTGGATTTTAAATGTTTTAATTGACTTTGAGTTCTGTATTTTGCATGATTTTGAGACTAAACTCTTTCTTTACACTTAGTTGTATACCCCTTTTTTGGAAACTGACTAGAACCAAGAAACTACGTTAAAGTTTTCATTGGTTACAACAGCTATTAAATCGTAAAATTAGCAATCACTTTAACTTCAACTTAAGCTACATTTCCCCTTCATAAAGATTCATTGACATTAAGTGAGATTGTCATATAATTGCCATTTCTATAAAAGCCATTCTGTGTATGAACATATTAATTTATGAAATGATATCATACACAGTCTTGAGTACATTGTACGACATTCAAATTAAAAGCATCGAACTGTGAACTCGCGCGAGCACAATTACACCTACGTGCTATAATTCTACCTTAAGATGTAGAAATGTATATAATGTATTTATTGTTACCAGACGTCTGTCGGCTATTACATATTGGGAGATTTGCATGAAAGCAAAAACAGAGAATAAAAAATTCTGTCTATAAATGGAATTTCCGTAATGACTGAGAAAACTGTTTTGGCATTATTGAATTATATTGAAAAAGACGTATAAATAATAAATACGTAGAGAAAAATATCTTCATGCTATTTATGGATTCTTGGAAGATAATGGTAAACAGCAAGATGCTAATAGAAGAGCAATGGTTTATTGAAAGATATATTATCACGTAATTTGTCAAATTTTTAAAGAGATGACATCAGTTCTGTGAATTTTCGAGGTTTTTTGGTCGTGGGTGCGCACTTTTTATTGTTATGCTTTCTAATTACAACAGAAAAAAGTGGCACAGAAATTAAAAAGGCTTGCTAATATGAATAAAATGAGGATAAGTGTCAATCAGTTCTTTTTATGTGACTCATTCAAGGCTTTATGGCGAAAAAAGTATTAAAATAATATTGCAGATTTAATTTCATTGCAAATCCTGAGCTAAAATAACTGAGAATCAGTTTGTGAAGGAGAAAGAATGCTGACTAATGTGTTTTCGATTAAAAGATCACGATAATTTTACGATTTGAATCACAAAGACTGCAGTCGACTAGTCAAGACGATAATGCACTAAGAAGACGACAATTGTAATCCCAAAAGAACCATTTCCTGCTAAATGTTTAATCTTCTTGCCCAAAAATTGTTTTCTTTTGAGTATTAGCACAAAAAAATCAATACAAATTATTCTGACTAGGGAAGCTCTAAATAAACTATACAAATAAGGATTTACGGAAGAATATAAGCTATTTCCTTATTCTCACAATAAATCATTACTGAGGCTCTAAAATTTCACAGATAACAAAGGTTTCTAGTTCAAAATTACTCATATAGCAGCCTGTGTGATACAGGTAACAAAAGTGAAAAGCATATCGTGATTAATTAACAATTTTAAAAGATAAGATAAGCAAAAAAATACAAAATTGGAATTTCTTGTATGGAGTCATTTCTCCTATCTTTTTTCTCTACATGAATTATCACTAATCAGTGGCAATAAAAGTTGAAGTTTTCTTTTACATATTATGAAGGTACCGTTTGACTTTTATGAAGACTTTTTTTTTATGACACTTTGAATATTAATATATTGTCATAGTCATAAAAAATTGGAAAGGCATCCGTCACCAATTAATTCTAAATTCATTTCTTTCTTCACTCCAAAAGCAAGTCTTTTATTAACTTTAAAGTTGGGAGTGAATCACTAATTTGAAACGGCGACGTTTCTCTTGTTCATATAAATTCTTTTTCTTTTTCAATTTGTAGGCCAGGTCAAAATAATAAATTCAAATTATAAAAAAAAGTTACTACTCAAAACATGCATAATTTTTTTTTCTTTTTTACTTCGTGGTTCTACAGCCAATTTACTAATCATTTTTGCTTGTTCATTAGCTTTTTTCAGCACGTTTTATGGAGTTTATTTTTGGGTTGAATAGAGCTATTGTTATCATTGTGTCCTCATTTTTTGTCCACTTATCGGGCCTATTTTGGGATAATTTTTAAATTGCAAGCTTTTGATTTGTTAAGTGATTCCATCTGAATTGTAAAATGAATAGAGAAATTTGGTACATACTTGTACACAAAGATTAAAGGATTGAATTTTGAAACTTTGATGTTCACCCTAAGTTATAGAATATGCCCAATATAAACCCGAAAAAACCCCAGCAGCTTGTTATCAAGAGAAATTTATAATCATCTAATATGACTAGTCAATAAATGTAATAGGTCAAAGGTACTATGGATGAAAATATGCGATAAGAGGAATACTAGAAATGTTGGAAATATGAATGAAGCTACACTCCAGAATCTAATTATTGGGGTTATTAAGCAATAATAATGATTATATAGAGGTAGAATATGAATACTTTAATTGATCAACGAAAAGTTAAGAATAGGAACTGAACAGCCAATCCTCTGATAGATATCAATCACATTAAGCTAGTCTGAAAACTAATTTTAGGATGTTAATCAAGTACTTAGTCATCAAAGACATCTTTTTCAAACTTTAAACCAATTAAGTGCGCTTTATTTCCTTATCAACGTGTCATTAGGTTCTTAACTTATCAATTTTAATACTTTTTTCAATCAAACAATTTTTATAGCATTTAAATTCACATCAAAAAAATAAGTTTTTGTCATTTAAATTTATACATGACGGAAATGATACTCTGCTCCCTCAGTATAAAACTAAAGTGACTTTGATTGTATTACAATTAACAAGTTGTTATTGAAATCATATTTCATTATTATTGTTATTACAAGAATACTAAAAGCGAGACGTTACGCTGAGATATTGAGAGGAAATGAAATAAAAAAAAATATCATTATTTGTGGTCAATGTCAAGCTACAAATTATGAAATAGCCAATAAATAATATTAAGCGATGCTATGAAATCAATGAAGCTTCTGTTTTGATCCAATCAATTTTTTCTCAAAATTTTAAAATGAGATTTGCATCAAATTAATGTTTTTGTTGATTTCATATTCAGGTTCACATATGCCAATACTTAAAATTGCCTTTATCTTAAGGTTATAATCTATGATATGTCAAAAATTGAAATTTTTTGAACTACCATGTTTTAAAAATAGACAGATAGTTTATACATCCATCAATAATTAAGTGACGTGTTGATAAAGATCTTGTTTGGAATTAATATAATAAAAATATATAAGTTAAATATTTATTATATTTTATTTACATCTGGATCGGAGATAAGCATGTAGGAGGAAAATTGACATTTTATGAATGAATTTCGAGGATTATTCTTGAATTTGGATATTTCATTAGTTTTTGAGTTTATTAAGATGCAAAATTACATGAGATTCATTTTTAAGTCAAGAGACCACACTGAAAGATCCTTGATAAAAAAGAATCTCACTTTATGGTAGAAGTCGACCTTAATTGTCTTGGGGTGACTCAACTCTATTTGACTTTAAGCTTTTATGATGAGCTTCAATTTATTTTGAAGGTTTTAATTTGAATTCGTGTTTTGCTAGTTTTCTTATATCTAGATTTATAAGACGCAGGTTTGACTCCTACTTGGACAAAGTTTAGTACCAAGTCTAAAGATTTTGATTTGTTTAAAATTCGCAGTCAAAATGTGGCACACAAATCTGAATAATTAAGAATTTAAACAAAATTTCTATTAAAACTTTCGAAATTTAACAATCCATCCACAAGATCCCATCTAAAAGGCTATATTTTAAACACTTAAAGATCTTCGAGCCTTTCCCCTAATAAATGCTTTTATTACCATTAAAATAATAAGATTAAGATAAAGTTTCAATTCCTTCATAAAGCCAATTTAAGCAAAAAGAAAAGAAAAAAAGAGTCGTCCAATAATCATCGATCGATACTCAGGGATTTGGATTTGGGTAAGTGAAAAGAAGCAAAAGATCCATAAAAATATTGTGAGATGTGAGTTATAAAAATGTCTTTAAACGATTATGAAAGCAAAAACCACCTGTGTGATTTTTTTTCATACATTCGTGCTTTATGTTTGAACATTTGAATGATTTTCTGTGTGTCTAAGCTTCATAAGATGACTGTGATGTAAATATTAAGCCAATAAATTCTCATATAATGCGATTTAATTTCAAATGGATTTGCACAAATCAACTGTGTGAAATTTAATCTCTTTTCTTTATGAATAGCAACCGATTTGCTTAATTGAATTGTTTGAAAAAACATAAAAGAACTGATGTTGACTTTCAAAAAATATAATGAAAAAATTGCCGAAACAGCAAATTTTGAGTAAATTGAATCAAATTGATTTATAATAATTTATTATTAAACACTTACGAATTTTCTTGCTATGCTCGAGCGCAAACTGTCTGGTTATAATCTGATCTGGTTGTATATTAAGCTCAGAACGAAGGTAGGTAAACAAATAATATTGCAAATAACGCGATTAAGGAAAATTACCGATTTTTCTTTTGATTATATTAATAAAAAAAAATATTATTTATTCCAAATTGAGCAGAAACTTTTTTTTTAAATGCCTGGTAATTGAACCATAACAAGTTGTTGGCATTAAATCTTTTATTTATTGCCTGTGTGTATTCGCTCACTCACTTCACTTATTATTATTATTTCTGCTTTATTCTTTTCATTTATTTTAACCAAACAGTATTTATTCTTCGTCTTTTATTTTATATGTTATTATTTTGTGGGTCTCTTGTCGTCACTCGAAATATAAAAATACTTTTTGGGCACAAATAACGGCATTCGCATTTATATTTACTTGTTTTTGCATTAAATTGCTCCTTCTTCCAACCTTTTTATTGTTATATCGTCACGATTAATTTATAATTTTACACGAAAAATTGATTTTTGTTCTTAAATGTCTTATCACTCCTACAAATTTGTCGGTACTCGTGTCAAAAATATTGCGCTAGTCGAAAATGCATTCACCTTTTCTTCACGAGACAAATATAAAAAAAAATTAAGTCGAGCGATAAAAAAATTTGTTTATTTGAAACATATGACTAATCAACAGGTTTCAAGCAGAGAAAAAAAAATGTAAATAATATTGGAAAGAGATATAAATGTGAACTTGACTCGTCAACGTTTAACTAACAACTAAAACTTTAGTCGGAAAAATAATGGAATGAAGTAATAGCAAAAAAAAGGTCTGTGTGTGCCGCAGTGTCTGCTAAGTGTGAGATCACGAAACCTGATTCTTATTTGTGACTTGACTTGCAGAGGGAGTTAGTGTCGAGTTTGACTTTATTCGAATTTTGTACGATCGACTCGTTAAAAAATATTGCGGAACTTTACTTTGAATAGATTTTAAGCTTATGATTTAAAGAATTAAACTTTGAAGATGTTGTGAATCTCTTTACAGAATTGTAGGGTTTAAGAAAATTTAATTTGAAGTTCTGTCTAGATTCTTATCAATCCTCGATAGCTCAGTGCAGTTGTGAGCGAATGCGATCGAAAATCACAAAAACTTAAGTTTAATTCCCATTCAGAATAAATATAATGACAACTAAAGTTATTTTTAAGTTTCAAGATCAACTTTAAACATACAAAACTCACGACAACGCGGCATAAAGTATATTTTAAGGAGCAGTGGTCTAAATCCTGAACCTCCTTTAGCTAAATTTTAAAATTCATCAATAAAACACAAATTTCTCTTAAAATAAATGCATTTATTAGTAAGAAAAAAAATCTAAATCTACTTCCTTATTTGATTCTCAAATTTTTTTCATTGATTTCTTAAGTTTTAAAGTTATAATGGCCAGATATTTTTATTGAGATGTATAAACTTAAATCTACAAAAAAATGAATATTGTTACTTCAGTCTCTCTTAATCTAACGCTCCTACACATGCTATCATTTATGTGCAATCATTCAATCTTGGTGTGTTGATTCTTCCCAATTCTAAGTTAATTGTTGATAAAAGTGGATGAGCACCACAGCCACATCGGTTACGGAAATCGTCCAGATCAAGTGCCCTAGAAAATTATTCAAAATTATAAGTTATTCAATTTGATAGCTAGAGTTTTGAATTTACCATATCATAGCACCACCAATTCCCAAATCCTTCACATACTGAGTCTTTCGTCGAACTTGCTCCACACTGAAAAAATATTGAAAATTTTGAATGGATTCAACTTAGCCTTATAGTAACTTACTCATCATATGACACCCATTGCCTGTCTTTATATGCATATGATCCAATAGCTCCCGTTGGATCTTTTACAACAGTCCAGCCTCCAGTATTTACTTTATGGCAAATTTCATAGAAAGCTAAGAAACCCGCTGATCGAGTGAACTCTCTAGAAAATTAAGACATGATTTAATCTTTATCAAAAAATGACTAAAGTAGTAACATACCCTGCTTGGCCACCTGCTGGTGCTTTTGTATTTAAGCCAGGGGTATTTTTAGAGCTTGATATTTCCAGCGTAAACGACTGTCCATACATTGACATGCCCATTACTAATTTTTTACGATCAGCTCCTTTTTCAATCCAATAATGCATTGTATAGTTAGCATTGAATGTTGCTTCTGTAGATTCTGGATGATGATACAATGGTGACACATGTCCTGTTTTCTTATCCCATTGACCGTGATAATCGTAGCACATAACAGCTATCCAATCAAAGTATTTTGTAAGTTCTGAAATCTCATAACCAGCATCAATGACTTTCTTAGCTGGTGATACAGCAGCAGAAAGAAGGAATCCTTCAGGCTCAAAAGCTTCTTTCAATTCTCTTACAAATGCTGTGAAAGCTTGTTTTTCTTCTGGTTTTCCTTTTGTGCAATCAACTTGCCAGCAAACTGGATACTCCCAATCTAGATCAAGTCCTTCAAAGTCATACTTCTTCATAAATTCAATAACATTTTTAATGAACTTTCTTCGTGCCTCTGGATCTCTTACCAATCTACTATATTTATCACCTAATGAGTCATTCCATCCACCAATAGCGACACTGACTTTAATTCCAAGTTTACGGAATTCTGTTACTTTTGTATAGAAGTTGTTATCAATATCAGCCCATGAATCATGAGTTCTAATTTGTAATGTTTGACTATTAAGAACAGCAAAACCATAAACGATGTGTGTACACAAAGTTGGATCAATATCAGAAGGCTTATATTTCCCAATACCAGGACGATACCAAGCCCAATTTGTGAAATAGCAAACAACCATGAAATCATTATTTCCTGTTGGAATAAATGGATTAGTTTCTACTGGTGGACGTGTAGGTTTAGGTTTTCTTGTTGTTGTAGCCATTGTTGTTGTTGTCGTCGGTTTTTGAGTCACTGGTTTTTTAGATGGTTTTGGTGATGATAATGTTTCATGTCCTGAATCGATATCATTGTCCTCATCTTCCTCGTCTTCCTTTTCTATTTCGTGTTCTTCGTCTTTTGATATACACTGTACATTTGAAGGCCAGTCACAATTCATGGTCTTTTGATTCCATTGCAGGCCGTACATGCAACTATTCGAAAAAAATTAATATAATTAAAATTATTTTAACTATAAAAATCAGTACTTACGACTGTTCCAATTTTGAAGCGAAATTACAAATGTAATATTTGCTGCAATCAGTTTCATGTGCGAAGTAAGTTCCATCTACACAACTATCATTGTCATTTAAATTGGTGCCTTCTTCATCGTCTTCATCTTCTTCTTCGTAATCTTCTCCTTCATATGTTGTTGATTTAACAGTCGTTGATGTTGGTTTTGGTCTGCTTGTAGTCTTTTTCTTTGTAGGCTTATAAGGCTCTGTAACTGCTGTAGTCATTGTTGTTGTTACTGCAGTCGTTGGAGCTTTTGTAGTTTCTTCTGCATCTGGTTTTGGTGGTTTGATTCTACTTTCCAAATTACAATTATTGTGTGGTCCTGGATAATCTCTCAAGACACGATTAATTGTTCTCAACAATGGATATTCTTCGCATCCGCACGAGTTCTTAAAATCATCAAGATCAAGCGCCCTAAAATATTATTTAATAAGTACAAGATTGAAACAATTTACAGTAAACTTACCATATCATAGCACCACCTAAGCCTAAAGCTTTGACATATTCACTCTTGTGCCTTATCATATTATTGTCATCAAATGAAACCCATTGATCACCTTTATAAGCATAAGGACCCATTGATCCTCGTGGGTCTTTAACAACAGTCCATTTTTGATTCTTAATTCTGTCGCAGATCTATGAAATTATAAAGGAGATTAACTTCAAAAGGAACTAATATAAATTTACTCTCCATACCTCATAGTATGAAAGGAATCCTCGAGCTCTAGTTTCTTCTCCAGCTTCACCACCACCATAAGTTGGACTATTCAAAGTATTTCTGATTCTATCAGCTAATGAGAACGATTGACCATACATAGGCATACCGAAAACCAATTTTCTAGGATCAGCTCCTTGATGGATCCAATAATTAAGCGTAAAGTTTGAATTAAATGTTTTGTCTGAATCATCTGGATGAACATACATTGGAGCGACGTGACCTGTCTTTTTATCCCATTGTCCATGATAATCATAAGCCATAACAGCAATCCAATCGAAGTTTTTAGATAGTTTTTTGACATCATATCCAGCATCGATGACTCTCTTACTTGGAGACACTGCTGATGACAACAATAATCGTTTTGGTTTGAATGCAGTTGACAGTTCTTCAACAAAAGCAGCAAAGTTTTCTTTTTCATCTGGATGTCCTTTTTCGCATTCAACTTGCCAGCAAACTGGATATTCCCAATCAAGATCAAGACCATCGAATCCGTACTTTTCAATAAACTCAATTACATTCTTAATGAAACGAGCTCTTGCTGCTGCATCTCTTACTAATCTACTGTATTTATCACCAGCTGAATCATTCCAACCACCAATAGCAATTGTTACTTTTATGCCTTTCTTTTTGTATTCTACAACACGTTCATAAAACTTGTTATCAATATCAGCCCATGAGTCATGTGGTTGAATTGTCAAGGAATCTCTATTTAATACTGCAAATCCATAAACAATGTGTGTACATAATTTATAATCAATATCTTCTGGTTTAAACTTTCCAATTCCTGGACGATACCATGCCCAATTTGTAAAGTAACAAACAACTTTATATTTTCCTTCATATTCATCAATTTCATTGTCTTCTTCATCCTCATAATCCTCGTCTTCTTCTTCGACACCTTCCGTTTCCTCGTCGTCAATATCATCTATATCCTCTTCTTCATCGATTTCATTTTCGTCTGGCTTTTCTGTAGGTTTCTGTGTCACAACTTGTGGCTTCTGTGTTACTGTTTGCGGTTTTTGTGTTACAGTTTGCGGTTTATGAGTATGTGTTACTGGTTTTTGCGTAACTGGCTTCTGTTCAATTGGTTTAACATCTACATATTCTTCTTCGCCTTCTTCAACTACTGGTTTATCTTCTTCAGATATTGGTTTTTGTTCTATTTCTTCGTCTTCCTCATCCTCTTCGTCATATTCATCTTCACCTAAATTTAAAAAGATTTATTAAAGTTTTTATGAATTAATTTTCTTATTTTTACCTATGACTTCATTTTGAGTACCATCCTGAAGTGTTTGGTGAATAATTTTCAATAATGGATGTTTTCCTTGTCCACACTTTCCACGGAAATCATCTAAATCTAATGCCCAAACCATGCCACCACCAAGACCCATATCAATAATGTATTGAGATTTCTTCTGTAAAATAGCTTGATCATCGAATGAAACCCATTGATTTCCATTGTAAGCATATGGTCCCATACGACCTTTTGAATCTTGAACGACTTTCCAGTCACGATTAAAGATTCTATCACAAATTTCATAATATGCTAAGAAACCAGCAGCTCTTGTAAATTCTCCAGCTGTTCCTGGTCCGGGTGCTTTTGCGTTTAGTCCATTATTATTTGAATCAGCTAGTGTAAAGGCTTGACCATAAAGTGGCAAACCAAGAATAATTTTGTCTCTTAAAGCACCTTTGTCTATCCAATATTTTATTGTATAATCCTATAATCAATTAATTAATTAATATAAGCTATCATAAAAACTATAGCTTGATACTTACAACATTGAAGTAATCGACATCATCTTCAGGATGATGATAAAATGGCGCAAGATGTCCAGTTTTCTTATCCCATTGACCATGATAATCGTAACACATAACAGCAATCCAGTCCATATATTTAGAAAGTTCTGGTACATCATATCCAGCATCAATAACAGTTTTACTTGGTGATACAGCAGCTGACAAAAGCAATCCCTTTGGTTTAAAAGCAGCTGAAAGCTCTTTGACGAGTGAAGCAAATGCTTTTTTCTCATCAGCATATCCCTTTTTGCAATCAACTTGCCAACAAACTGGATATTCCCAATCTAAATCAAGACCATCGAAACCATATTTCTCCAAAAATTCTACTGCATGCTTAATGAACTTTGCACGAGCAGCAGAATTTCTTACTAATCGACTGTACTTATCACCAGCTGAATCATTCCATCCACCTATGGCTAGTGTTACCTTAATTCCTTTCTTCTTATATTCTACAACTCTTTCATAGAACCGATTATCAATATCAGCCCATGAATCGTGTGTTCTCATTGTCAATTCATCGTAATTCAATACAGCAAATCCATAGACAATATGTGTACACAAATTCTCATCAATATCGTCTGGTAAATACTTTCCTTCGCCAGGTCTATACCAAGCCCAGTTTGTGAAATAACAAACAAGTTTAAACTTTCCAGTAAGTGGTTCAACATGTTCCTTAACAGGTATTGTTTGAAGTGATGTTACTGGATCTCTAGATGGTTTAGCTGGTTTTGATGGTTTTGATGGTTCTACAGGCTTAGATGGTTTTGTGGGTTTCGCTGGTTTTGATGGCTTCATTGATGTAGTTGTTGGTTTGGCAGATGATGCTGGTGGCTTAACAGATGATTGTGGTTTACTTGATTCATCAATTACTTCATTCTCAGTATTTTCTTCGTCCTCCTCATCCTCATACTCACTTTCTTCTTCATTTAATGACGGATCGCTGATACAGTCAACATTTTGTGGCCAGTCACAATTACTATTAGCTGGATTAAATGAAAGTCCTGCTGGGCATGGCATTTCAAGCAATTGATCATGATTACAAATCAAATATTTTGAGCAATCTCCTGGATATGCAAGGAATGATTGACCTTCACATGGATCACCAGTACTTGCTTTCAACAAAGATGCCGTGAATATTCCTTGGTTTTTATATTGCATTTGTAAAAGCTTCATGTACTTCTTTCTTGAAACACACTTGACATTTTCTTCATAATCACATTGTTTGATCTTTTGACTGTATTGCAGACCTTCAGGACATTTCTGCTTAACTCTTCGGTTATTACTACAAATGAAGAATTGGGAACAATCTTTAGATGGATAATATTCTCCATTAACGCACTTTGTTGGCTTTTTCTGTGGCTTATTTGTTGTTGTAGAAGTTGTCGTTGATTCGGTAGTAGACATTGTTGAAGTCGTGGTAGTTCTTCTTCGTCGTCTAGTTGTTGAAGTTGTTGGAATCGTGGTTGTTTCAGGAATTGTTGTAGTCGTGTAAATAGTTGTTGTAATTTCTGCATATGTCGGTCGTTGAGTTTCTATTGGATCACGTACTGTTGTAGGCTTACGAGTTGGTCGACGTGATGGTCTTGTTCCTCTTGTTGTAGATCGTGTAGCTGTTGTTGTAGCTTCTGTCATTTTTGTTGTTTGTTCTGTAACTGTTGTCATGGCTTGAGTTTTCGTTGGTCTTGGTCTACGTGATGTTGTTGTTGATAATGGTTTTTCAGGCATTTTACTTGTAGTTGAAGGTGTAGTCACTACTTCATCACTAGCTGGAACTATTTGACAGTTTGCAGATTCAGGCCAGTCACAATGTTTATGTGCATCATTCCAATGTAATTTCTGTGGACATGGCTGTTCTTGATAGACATTTCCAACACAAACAAGATACATGCTACATGATGTTGGATGTCTCTTGTATTCACCATTGTCACATGTTTCGTCTGGAACATAAACAGGCATGACATTAACAGGAGCTGGAATTGGCGTTGAATCAGACGATTGTCCACTTTGAGATGGTTTTCTTGATGTGGATTGAATTGCAGGACGTCTTGTGGTTGTACTTTGTGTCCACCAAGGTGATGTAGATTGTGGTTGAGATTCATCTGATGCCGACATCGGTATACCAGCTTGTCCTGAATCTTCTGTAACGCTCATTATGGCTGGAGGTGGAGTAACAACCGCAGGCTTCTCACAACTATGAACAGTAGGAGTTGGAGAATTTAATCTTCCAAGTCCACGATTAATAGCTCTTAACAATGGGAATGGTTCCAAACAGCAGTTATTATTAAAGTCATCAAGATCAACTGTCCATGCTGATGCACCACCTAATCCTTTATCTTTAATATATTGTGTCTTTTTAAGGATAAATGCACTATCATCAAAACCAGCCCAAATACTTCCATCAGTAATATAAGGTCCAGAGTTGCCATTTGGATCAACACCTTTCTTAAAGTTTGGTCTACGAAGCAAGTTACAAATTTCATTGTATCCCAACATTCCAGGTTGATTTGTTATTTCACCAGGCTCTCCAGGTCCTATTGCTGGTGCATTATACCCTCTTAACGACTTCTTTCTTGACCCCAAAGTGAATGATTGAGCATAGCCTGTAAAGATAATTGGAATTAATTGACAGTTGTAGTTTTTTTGAGATTCGCTAATTACATGGGATTCCCATGATAACTTTTTCCATATCTGCTCCCTTTTCACGTAACAGAGTAATGGCATAGTCTGTATTATACTGTGGATATCTATCAGTACTGCTTGCGTAAAGTGGACTGTTAAAAATAAATCACAATTAGTATGTTCATCATCAAAAAAAGAATAAAATTTGCATACCTAGTATGTCCAGTAATGTTCTCCCAAGCACCATGATAATCATAGGTCATAACTGTCATAAATTCAATATTTTTCGATAATTCCACAAAATCATATCCTTGTTCTATGATTTCTTTATATCCAGACACAGAAATACTAACTTTTAAATCAGATTGCTTCAGTCTGTAGTTCAATTCCTATATTTTATGATAGAAATTAGTCAAGCAATAATTTAAATAATTTATAAAATCTTACAGCAATGAATTCAGTGAAGTAATCCCTGTCTTTTTCATCGCCGTTCTTGCAATCACTTTGTGGACAAGTTGGATAATTCCAGTCAATATGCAAGCCAGAGAATCCAAATCGCTTCAAAAATGGCACAGCATTTTCGATAAACTTTTCTCTTAATTTACTATCGGCAACTAAAGTGCTATATTTTCCAATTGTTGAGTCAGTCCATCCCCCAATAGCTAGATAAACTGGAATTCCAGCAGCAGCATTTACAGTACGGATATATAAATTGTTCTCAATGTCAACCCAAGTGTCAAATTCTTTTATGATAAATTGAATAGGATCAAGTGTTGCAAATGAGTATAAAACATGAGTACACAAGCCATAATCGAGATTTTCTGGTGCAAAACGTCCTTCTTCTTTACGATAAAATGCCCAATTTGTCAGATGACAAATGACTTTAAATCTTTCTTCGAGTTGATTTTTTTCAGATCCAATCATTTTAATGTTTCCAAATGCCGAGTATTCTGGCTGTGTTGTAAGCTGATCAAATGTTCGTATATCGACAAGTTGTTGATAAGGTGAACCAGTGCGGTAGTATAAAGGATCAGGACCATATGGATTATAGATTGGAACTACATAAGCTTGAAGATTGTAAGCTCTTGATTTTCTTTGATGATCTGGTAGAACAATGTCTAAGAATCTTTCTTGTCGTGAATGTGAACGTGAAAAACTATCATCTCTGGGATTATATTCAACAGCTAATCGGAGTGGACGATAATCTGAGACACTAATTAAAGAAATTGATCAAATTGACTTAGTTAAGTTATTGAAAAAGTTAAGCAATAAAATTTTACATTGTCTTGGGAACACTTTCAACAGCTGCTCTGGAAAACTGCTGTTCCTCAATTCCTTCAATGTCATTATAGTTTGGCATTCTCAAATTCATTTTTTGTGCATCATCAGTTGGAATATGTTCAACTGAATAGCGAGAAAAGGATTCTGCAGTCTCCTCAGTTTCAACGAAGCGATGTGGAATTGCCTCGGTGTAGTAAACGTATGCTAATAAAAGCTGTTATAGATTGATTAGCCTGCGAGTCTTTAGATTGAAAAAGTGTCAAATTAGTTCTTACCATACTCAATAATTTAAGTGCTATCATTTTTCGTGGTTATTCTATCATGAAGAAACCTGTAAGTAGATAATATTGAAGAATTAATGAATAATGTCTTCCTAGAAATTTTCGGCATTTTCAAAGATTTGACAATATTTCCGGTAGATATATTAACACCTAAGTCACTTAGTGATTAGATAAGTATTCAAGTCAAAAGCTATAATTTCAAACACTAAACCAAGCTACATTACGAACGACGAAAAACCAATAAAAATTCTGCATACAACGAAAGCGAAAGTCAAAGAAGAAGCAAGAGAAGAAAAAAACGTTATGCGATAAAAGTTGTAGAATGAACAAGTGTAAAATGTCCAACGGTTCTTTGAGTTTCTCTCTCTTTTTTCAATCGTTTTTCGTAAACATCCGAATTAATGTGAATAACATCTCGCACAGCTTGTGTCATCGAACCTCGATTTTATCTCTCTTGTATTTTGTGCAAACAAGTTTGAAGAAGCTTTTTTATGCAAATTAAATCTTCCTTTACGACTTTCTTGACGATAAAAATATTCTTGCTAAATTTTTGGGGAATTTTGTTTTGTGAGCTTAAATTGCTTTTGTCATGCAATAAATTATAAAGTTATTCGAGAAATGTGTGACTTGAAGGGTGTGTGTGTGTGATATTGTTATCAAGGAATGACAACTTTCTTGATAATTTGTTTGAGAATTTATGCAAGTTTTTTTTTGTGGAGGAGTTAAAGTCACTTTATTAAGCGTGATATAGCTTAATAAGTGGGATCATGTCACGTCAATTCAAAAAACATAAGTTCGTTGCAATATGTCGACGATATTTCAGTTGCGATACCCTATAAGCTCCCTCAATACCCTTCCCTGCTCACCGCTCCTAATAAACATATTAATGACACAGTAAGTGATCAATATATTAATTCAAATGTCTTACAGTAGACGCAATAAGCTTGTTAATTGTTACAATTTATCCAATAATACGATTCGTCTGTCATGCGATATGCAAACAAATACCGAAGCGACAGTCACGATCTTGAACTTGATTTTTAAGTTGCTAGTTTTTATTGAAGATTGAAGCTTATAGTTTGAGCAGTTTGTCTTGTTTGCTTTAATGGATTAATTTAGTTTAAATTACTTTTGTAAATCAAAAATATTCTCAAAAGAAAGATTTGAGACTTGAAAACTCCTTCTGACTACATTTTAGAACTCAAATTTAAAATTTAAAGGCAGTACATATTTTTGGGCATTTGTTATGAGGAGACCTGCGCAAGCTCCATTAAGTAAGGTCCAAGATATATAGATGGGCTCATACAGAGTATACTTGACCATACTCGACCATACTATTTTTTGTGTACTTATACAAACAAAAATTTTTAAAATTTTCTATTTTCAAGTTTTCATTTAAATATCGACAGATGCAACAACATTTGACTTTAGTCAGTTACTTTTAATTATAGCAAAGCATTTGCAATACTCCTGTATCAACAAAACTTAACAGAAAGTAGAAAATTTTGCAAAACAAAAATTGAAAATTTTCTTTTATAGTGTTAGTGTTTTTAGAATATTCAAATTTTTGACGTTTAAAAACTGCGATATTTTTGTATGAGCACATCTATATATCTTGGTAAGGTCTTTAAGTCGGACTTTGTGAATGGAAAAAGAGCACGTGTAAGGCCAAAGAACTCATGGAACGAGGCTGTTGATAGAGAGAGTATTGCATTTGGTATAGGAAATTTGCAAGCGGTAGCCAGCGATATAGCCAGTTTTAGGCATCTGAGGGTCCATAAATCACAATTGATCTGTAAGGTCATCGAAGTAAGTAAGTACATATTTTTGGAGGAGTTAAATATTTTTTGCGCTTTATTTTACCACTCACTATAGCTAATCTACTAGCTACATATTAGTTCAATATATTGTTTCCAATCGAATAATTTACATGGAAGTTATTTCTAATCTAATAATTATTTATGACATTGAAGAGCGTTTATTGAACCTTCTCGTTTGAGATACTATGTATGAAGAGTTGTTGATTCCAAATCTTTAAGAACCTTAAGAATTTCCTGTTGATGTTAGCCACTATGATTATGAAGACAGCAACAAAATGGCAAAATATACGGCAATCGATTAAAATTTAAATGACAATCGTCTTTCTCTCTATAATTCTTTTTTTGTGGATCAGTGGTGCTAAGACTAGATGTTAAGGAACGTTTTTGGTCTATGAAAATTTATGTTTTGAGTTATTTCCGTTATTTCCAAATTTCAGTTGATATTTATTTATAAACCCAAAAAAAAGATGTCAAGAGAAAAAGTTGCAGCACTTCTGCATCCTACATTCAATCCCATCTGTCAACTTGGATGTTTCTTAAAATTTATGGAATTTGTTTTCGTTCCTTATCTTCGCTTATATTTTTAAAGTTTACGGTAAATTTTATTTTCGCCCAATTTCCACTTATCCTTTAAATATCAAGTTTTTTGGCCTTAAGGTATTCGTGAACTTTTTATCAGACTGTAATAAATTGTGAAATTCACAGAATTAACTGACATTGTCGATTAATTAAATGATTTTTTTTGCTGATGTTACTTTATATCAGGCATTGAAATATTGCGTAATTAATTTTAACGAAACAAGAGTGGTTCTTGGAACTTAATATTACAAAAAAATTTGTCGATAATGAATTTCGGCAGTCGCCTTTAAGATATTTTTACCGTTAGAGTGAAAGAAGTGAGCGGAAATTTTTTTATTTTCTATAATTTTTTTTTATATCCAATGAAACACATAAAATGACATCTTAAGGTCAATGAAACGCCTCATCACATAAACATGACATAATACATACCAATGGATTGTCTCTCTAGCGATAAAAATTCCATTTATGTCTAATTAGTTTTCTACGCTTTAAAAACTCAATTACAATTTTTATCAGAATATGTAATTTCGATGGAAATGAATGACATTCCTTTCGAGAGACGACTTAATGTGTATTTCTAATAGGAAAGATTTAAATGCACTAATACGCAATGAACTGTCAAAACTACGCGTAAATTCTCCTTGAGATTCCCTTTAATGCGAACAGATCTTAATCTTTTTATGCTGTTTTTTTTTTGAATTTTCAATTTTATTTTGTTGTGTTTGTTTTGATGAGCAATGTCAATCCTTAAAGAGAATTTTGTTTGTCATTTTTGAAGTTCAAGCTGTTTGTGAGTGATTTTTGAGGGTCGAGATTTGTTAATTCTAATGTTTTAATTGATTTGAAATTTTAAAATTTTCTAGAACTTTTTATAATTTCATTCAATAAATTAGATTATTCTTGAGTAAGTGAATCACTATTATAGAGGATCTGATTTTTGTAAAGTTTCATTAATATTGAACTCAAAGATTTAAAAGTTTCTGGATGATTTTCAAAAAAAAATACAAAAATCCTGACTCATAGCACCTAATTAGCTATGCAAATCTAACACTCATCGTCCGTTTCTTTTTATCACATCCAAAATTTTAAGAATCTACTCATCAATTTTAAGAAAAATCACTTGACTTTTTCAGAATAAAATTCAAATCTGTTTACTAATTTTTAGATTGTAAAATTCTAGTTTAAGAATGCGACATTCTAAATCGTCTTAATCATCTCCACAAAAAAAGACATGAAATGATTTAGATGTTCGATATCTCGTGAATCACAAATCAAAATGATTCACAATTTTTTATGTCCCAAAAATTACATTTACTCATTAAAACATTTTTGACTGTTTTTTAAACTTGAAATGTGTACGCAACTTGAAATTAAATGATATGCGACAATCAAGTGATATAAGCATCATTAGTACAATATTAAATATGTATCAATTCATGGCTGTTTAACAGTCACCGATGAATACTAATTATTCATTATAAAATTTATTTTTTATACGATTCCATCCGATGAGGTCTTATTTAAGGCGGTGAATTCTAATAGAAATAAAGTTTTAACGACTTGTTCCTTGTTACTGTTTATTTTAGCAGTGATTATTAGTTTTAAATAATGAGGATGGAATTGAATTTTAATTATATTAGGTTAGTAAGGACACGCATTTTGTAGAAGATGCTACATAATTGATTAACAAGTTGTTTGAAAACGTAGAATAGTGCAAAAGTAAACCTTAAGTTGCCTAATCTTTACAAAGAGTTCAAATTTTAAAATTGCTTCTTATGTTGAGGATTTCTACAAGTAATATTACACTTGGTGTTGCTAAGATAACAATTCAGCCTCAAAGGATTAGTTTTTATAGTTCTTAAGACTTGACAATGTCTAAATGTCTTAAATGTATTGTGATTCTATAAATAGAGTTTAAAAACATAATTAAAATTGTTCTAGAACTTGCGAATCATGACTGAAGAATTATTTCGATCATACACATAACGTGTCCAATTCTTCAATCTCTTCATGTGAAAAGCCTTTGGTAACAAGCGAGAAATTAAAAAAGTTTATAACTCTTTAATCTCGACGAAACCATTTTTACGACTCTGAATTCTTGTAGCTACAGATATGTAAATTGATATTTTTAAATATTTCTGGCAATGAAATTTTGAAGGATTTTTATGAAATTTGTTACAAAAATTTTACTTAAAATTGCTTTAAATTTGAATTTCAGAAATTGTCAGAACCGATCCCGAATAAAATAAAATGACAAGAATAATACAGAAATTGAAAAATATCAAAAATCCTTCAAAATTTATAAGGAACAAACAATAAAAAGCATCTCAAAGTCACAGATGCTAGACTAAATCTATTCAATTATATAGGATTAAGGGAATAACTTTAATATTGTCACTTAGTCTACAACAATTTAATAGCCATATACAAGATATTTAATATTCAATTGCACTATAAAAATAATTCAGAATCAATTGAGTTAACTTAGTTGCAATGATTGAGAATAAATTTGAAGGAATTCAGAGGAAATAAATTTAAAAGATTTTAAGACGCAAATGTAAATTTTTGATAATGTTCGAAAGGATATAAATGCTTACCACAAAAATGATGCAAAAGTAATAAAAAGATCTGTCCAAAAAAGAACTGAAAAGTTCAATAAACTTGAATCAGCAAAAAAATATTGTTAAAAATTCTTTCTGCTTTCACAAACTCGTTTTTTCTTTATAATCTCAACAGTTTTGTGCCTCGTTAACGAATGTCCACAAGTGGTCCAGTTGAAATATTATCAATTCAACGCTAATCCACCAAGTGAAAGAGGAGAAAATGTACAAAAATTATGCAAATTTTTGCTCAGCACAGAACAAATAGTTGCGAGTTCTTCACTTCTCTTTCTTCACTTTCTTGTTGTCTCTTCTTTTAGCTTTCTTAATTTTTTTATTTTCACTCCACTTATTTCACTTGTTCACTTATCACATTTCACTGAAATACTGTTCTTGTGCTATGTTCTGTCGTTCCTTTTATACAAAAACGTCGCATCAAAATGAGCTTTTTTGAATTTCTTCTTTGTTCTGAGCTTCATTGAGAGCATTGATGAGCTTATGAGTAAAATATTTTCATTTTCTCACGATATATGCTTGATAGTTTTAAGGATATATGACGATCGTGAGAGAAAATTTTCTTTTTACTCTCGCGATCTCATCGAGGCTCATAAAGCTCAATAGAATATTCTCATTTAAAGCTCATTCCTCGAAACTTCTTAAGAGAGCTCTTTATTATTTTGCACATGAGACGAGTGATTACTAATATGGTAAATTCCATTGAAAATGAAAGTGAACAGATGATGAAGAAGATGTGAATGAAAATATAAATGAGAAGCGGTAAGCACGTGCTGTCTGCTCATAACATTGCATAACTGACTCACATAAATGACTTTATGTTTTGAATTTTTGAGGTCAATGGCAAAGGCTTTGCATTCTCAGTGAATATTTTACGAACGACAAATTGGAGAATTTTATTTTTATTTGTTTTTGTTCATGGAAGATGATTGAGAAGTTGAAAAGCTTGTTTTAATTATGTTTGTTATTATGCAGGGCGGTATTTTTAACCTGTTTGCCATGTGTAAAGTTCTTGATGGAGTGATTTTTAAAATTAATTAAATAATTTCAAATTTTTGAGAACAACTTTGAAATTTTTTAAAAAAATTCGTATTATTTTGTTTTTAATTTTGTTGATGACTTTCCACTGATTTGTGACTAGTGCTTTTGAATAAAAGTAGAGTTGTAATTCCATCCCTGCCATTCTTATGAAGCTAATAATCTACGTCTTAATATTAACTCCCGATAATTCTCAATCTCAAAGATTCCCTCTACAAATTAACCCAACTTTATTAACATCTTTAATTTATATCCAACCAGCAATACCAAGTTATGAATAAATCAGCATTTCCGTAGAGAAATTGCCTGATCACTCCTCATAAATTTTTCGTACCTACTCTTTCTTTGTTCATTTCTCTAACATAGAAATTTATTCAATGGCTCATAAAAGGTGTAAATTATTGGTAAATTTTTTCACTGTAATGTTTTTATTACTGCAAGAGGAATTACTGACTTATCGCAATGACAAAAAGTTATAACTTCTCTTCTCTTGTACAATGAAACGAAGGTATTCGCAATAAAGAAGCGAGAACCGTTAATCTTAAATGGAACATGCTTATTTTCATTTGACTACTAAATTTTGTGCTTACTGTGATTGGATATGCTTCTATTTTATTATAGATTATATAATGCAATTTTCGGCTTAATATTTACGTTTAAGACGTTCTAAGGTTTTACTTTAAATATGTCCGATTTTACAAACATTTATAAATGTTTTTTTTTGTGTCATCTTCCAATCAATAAAGATTATTAAAATTAGGTAAGCCGATAAACGCATCACAAATCTTAATTATCTTGTACAAAACAGCAATGAAATGATCCGCGAGTGAATCAAGCTTTGCGGTTCATCCGATTAACCGCAATTTTATGTTCAAACACACAAGAATGTTAAATAATGCGTCATAAAATAATAATAGTCAACACAATTGACTAAGGTTAATGCCAAAAGAAATGAAAACAATCTGTTATTAAACCATCGACAGACTATTTTTCATTTATAAATGCATAAATTATTTCATTTTTAGTTGCAATTATGCAGAAGTGTTGATTTCTTCATTAACAATGTGCTGATAATTATAAAAAATACATTTGCTTGTTTGAATTGATGATTCGTAAGAAATTGGTTGTTTGGTAAAAAAGAGATGATGAATGAGACTTGTTTGACATGCTAAAAATCAATTATTTCTTCAATGTAGAGATTATCTTACCTATTTATGTCTTTAGCTATTTGATCGATTTACTATTAGAGATATGCTAATTTATTCAATCTATTTTTGCAGAATTGATGTTTATTCTTTGACATGACGAAGACATTCTTGAATATTTTGATCTTCTTGAATATTTTGAATGCCTCAGACACTGATTCTAAATTAGAATTAGCTTAAAATTCAAAAACTTGTTCATTATAATTCAAAAACAGATAATCCAATAGAAGTCATAAATGCACTTGGGATATCAACAAGTGTATCATGTTTGCTTCTTTATCAACCTGTTTTTTTCCCGTCGAAAGCAAATCAATGACCTCTGTGCTTAGTTTTACTATCCAAAATCCTCTAAGACGTATGCAAATGTGATTGAATTAATTTGAATTTCAAATTTCTTGTAGAAGGGAATGAAACTGCTAAGAATTAGCTTCATATTTGCATAATTTGAAAGATTTAGGATAATTTGCAAAGTTCTAAGATATCTAAAAATAAAGATCTGATCAAATTTCCAAGAAACAATATTGAATCCATTCTAAAGAATGCTATAAGGGCTCGTTCACTTATTACGTAACGCAAAAAACGAGTTTTTAGACCCCCTCCCCCCCTGTAACAAAGCGTAACAAAATCTTAGACCCCCCTCCCCCCCCCCCCCATAACGTAACAATAATTTTTTTCATTTAAATTGTTTATCAAATGTTTATTATACTTCCTTTAAGTATGTAAAAGTAAATAGAAGGAAAGCAATAAAAAAATATGTTAATCGTTTACATCCATATTATTAACTAAACGCAAAAAAAACTCATAAGTTTTGTAATCATTAGTCGTTTACCCAAATTGGTTGAAAATGATCTTCAACTGCAAATACATTTTGATATTCAACAATAATATCAGTATTTGCACGTTCCTCTTCAATATCCAAGTTCTCAGCTTCTACCCAATCCAAATCCTCTTGCAATTGTACTAATACTTCTTTTTCACGTCTGCATATTACTTTTCTTGGTTTTTTCTTAGTATTAACTATACGTTTGTGAATAATTTTTCGGTGATTCTTTAACATATCGATTGAAGCACAGTAATGATTACAATCAATGCATACCCTTTCTTTTATAATGTCTCCAATCGATGGACAGTATTTATCGTACGGAATGCTAGATGATTCAGTAAAAGAAATGCATTGAAAAAGTGTAGCAAAGCGGGCATTAGAGTCTTTTGGATAAAAAAAATATAATTTTTGAAAAGTTACGTAACAAAATTTAGACCCCCCCCCTCCCCCTGTAACAAACCGTAACAAAATCTTAGACCCCCCCTCCCCCCCTGGTGCGTTACGTAATAAGTGAACGAACCCTAAGAATTTTATGGCACATACTTTTCAGTCATGCCACATCTTGCAGTCTAATAATGAAGATAAAATCCAGTCGACATGGAAAAGTGAACTTAATAAGCATTTGTTATGCAAAAATGCAAGAGTAAATTTGCATTTATATTAAGTTCTGAAGATGAACATCTTCATCATTGACAGAAATAAAAATTACGCCGTATTCAAAGATTAAATAAATATTTTGGGGATCATCAGTTAAAGTAATTGATGCTATCATTTAAAGACTTGTCAACTCTTGTTTTAATCAATTCTGAAAGCAGCCTCATTAAAGTCATTTCACTAAGAATGATAAATTGGCATGATTAACCTCATTAGCATTCGATTCGTCCGAAAAGAAGGAATTTTGCTTGACACAAGTTCAATAAACTTATTGCCGAATGCTGCTTTGGTACCTTAAAAACTTGTTTTCATTTTTTATAGCGGTCCATTCCTTATCTCCACACTTTATTTACATATATTTTGCAAATATTTACCGGTTCTTACAAGATGTATATCCACACAAAATATTTAATTGTGCTGTCTTGTTCTTAATGTGAGAATCTTTCTCAATTCTCTTTTCACCACTTTCTTTTTTCTCTTTTTGGCACTTCCACTTTTTTTTTTGTTGCTTTTGGTTTCTTCACTTAACACTTTTCACTGAACGACTGTTCTTGTCCAGTATTCTGACGCTTCTTTTATACACAAACTGATAAATCGAAAGAAAGCTTTCGCGAGAAATTTTGCAGAGCTTTTGAGAGAAATTTTTATGCAGAAATATTGCTTACTATGATCAATGTAAACTGAATGTATGACAGCTACTGATATTCTATCACGAATAAAATAATTGTTCTATAACTTCAAAGCATCAAAAATAAGCTAGACATGGAATTTTATTGACCTTAAGTAAGAAAGTTTCATTACAAAATAGTTTGTATACAGCAATTACCACTTAATAGTTAATGCAGTAGACATTTTCTCTACAGCATGATAAGACGTATGAAGTAATTTCTGTGCCTTATCACTGTCATTACCACCAAAAAATTCTTCATAAATGACTTTCACATCGTCATTATCGGGCTGTGACTTTGGTAAGGAACGATACATTTCTTCAAGTTCACGTGTTAATTCCTTCATTTGTTGATTGTTTTGTGGTCGAATTTGTGCACCACCGTTAAGACATCCAGTTGGGCATGCCATAACTTCAACATAATGATAATTTGATTTTCCTCGTTTCAGCTTCTGAACTAAGTTCTGAATGTTACGGAATCCATTAGCGATTGCGAATTTCAACAAGACTTGACCATCTTTTTCTAAAGTTACTTCTCGAAAGTCTGGATTTCGTAAATTTTTATATTCAAGGACTTCAACATTTTCATTGAAAAGTTCTTTTGCTGCATATTTGAAGATATAATCAGAATATCCACCTGATCCAGACAACTCATGAGACCAGACAAAATTCTCAGGTATTTTACTAGTCCATGGCCAATCAAATTCACCCTTTTCAAATTCATTGAGATTTTTGCCTTCATTAATCAGCATTTGTTCGATCTCAATAGATGTAATAACACAATCAATATCACGTGAATCAAGTGCTTCATTGAAAAAATCTTCCCGAGACGCTTCAAGTTTCTTATCATAACAAGGCATAATAGTTACGTGATAAATCTTATCGCCTGTAATATTAAGCTTATTTGCTAAATGCTCTTTTACTAAAACCCCCATAATTTGCTGTGGTGATCTAGTAGTGGAAATAAAGGGTATGATAAAATTCCCATGAGTCTTTTCAGCATAACAGACCCATCCTGGACATGACGAAGTTAACATTGGAAGTTTGTGAGTCTTTTGATCTTTATATCTCTTGATAAACTCATTTCTAGCTTCAATCAATGCTAAGTCGTCAGCAATTTTAGTATCAAGAATATAATCAGCACCAATTTTCTTAAAATATCCAGCAATATGCTTCAATGCATCCACAACATCCATACTATATCTTTTTGCTAATGATAAGAGAGATTGTTGAGAGACAGTAATGACAACTGTCTTAATCTTATCAGTCTCATCATTTTGCTTTGCAATATTATTCTCATTAAGGATCCGAAGGACTTCTTCTTGACTTTGTTGAGTGATCAAAACTCCTTCAGCACTTGTGATACATCCAGAACATGCTAAACAGTCAGCTAATGTGATTTCAACTTTTTCGAGCTTCTGTGATCCTAGCTGTAGTAAGATTAGAGGGATTTAGATACTGATATTGCGATGTATTAAGGATTAATTGGCTTACTTTCGATTCCTCAATATATGTTCCATCGTCTTGAATTGTAATTTTAGATCCAGTTTTTGACTTCTTTATATCAACCGGTTTTATGCATTCTTGTGATGGCGTTATAAAGTCATCTAAGTCTGTTAATTTTAAAGCACCGCTGAAGCCTGCCATTATTGTAGGAATTAATTAATTTAAATTTAATGTTTGTTGACAAAAAAATAAATCGTGAGTTATTTTTGAATTTTTTTCGACCGTTATTCGAATGTTTAAAATTGCGGAATTATTTTTCAAAAATTCACCACTTGACACGTGTCTCGACTATTTTTTTAAAATTAAAACGACAGATAGATTCCTTTGGTGTATACGTATATTTGATATCTTTATAGCATGTAACATTAAATATATTGCTTCTACATAATTGTTTTCTCTAAAATGCTTACAATAATTTGTACATTTACTACTTATTTAAGGCTACTTCATAGTTTGTAAATCATTAATTAACTTCATTACTATCCATACACAAACATAAGCAATAATGTGATTTCCATTAATTATATTAGCAAATGATAAGTCTTTAGTCAACCATACATTAAGGGATAAATTTTCAAATGTCTCATCAGCAAATTTATAATTTATCTGGCTATAAGGTGGCTCAAGAACTGTTAATATGACAGAATACAGCCTATCTGAATCACAAAACATCAAAATTGAAAGATTTCGTTGCACATACAGCACTTGAATTGTTATAGCATCTAAAATGATGTAAAATAAGTTACAATTTGAATAAAAAAACCGTTAAATATTCAAATTGAAAAAGTCGTTAAAGATTTGAATTTTAAAAGTCAGTTGAATTTTGACAAAAATTAGACCTGACTTACCTCCTTTCCACACTGCATTGTTTTCTACACTAATATTAAATTTATAATTTCTCTGTTGGAAATTAAAGGAGAAAAAAAAATTAAATTGTTCAAAAATTTTAATTGCGCATAAAATCCTTACAGTATTGTTAAATGATGCACCACTCGAGACGTACTCCAGAGAAACAAATTTAAAAGATTTACCATTCTTCACAATCGTCTTTTTCTTCTAAAATAAATAAAATTTGATGCCAAAATGCGACAAAACAAATAGACAAGTTCAAGGTTAATTACGTCATCCAAACCCTTGATTTTGAAGTAAAATAGTTCAACATCTTTACGATATTCATTAACTGGTGTCCGTCCTTCATAATGCAATATTAATTTCAGGACATTCCATTTATGAAAGAGCTGAATGAGGACAATTATAACAAACATTAGTTTTAATCCACAATTTCACCATTCAACTTACTTCCTCAATCTCAAAATTCTCATTTTTTTGGAGTATGACAGGACACTTATCACTAGTATCGAGCTTACAAGAGACATAACTACAGCCTAATAATAATAAAATTAGAATTGACTTCATAACAAATAATTTAAAGGAAATAAAAATGTTGCTGCACGTACAGAAAGTGACGGAAAGGAACTGAATGAAAAATCTAGCTTTGCTCTCGTTCATTCATAGAATTTTCATTGACAGACATTCAGGCACCAGATTTTCTCGAGGAATAAAATGAAATATGAATCAATGGAAATTGTTGGCTATGAATGAAAAATGTTTTAAAGTTTTTTTGTTGGCTCTTGAGAATGCGCGTGGGATTTAATAAGGAGCATCAACTTGTTGATTTGATGATTTTATAAAGATTATTTTTTATTTTGAAAAATTTAAAAATGAAAGCTTTAAAATAAAAAAAATCCTTTGAAAATTCAAAAAATTAAAATCCATTAAATTTTGAAATTTTAAAATAAAATTTTAAAATAGTTGAATAATTAAAGAATAAAAATATCAGTGAATAAAATTAAATTCCAATATCTAATTATTTATCTTACACAATTCTCACCTCTAATTACCTACAATTCCACAAAATTACCTTCATTATAGATTTTTAAAGCCTAATTAGCCAAGAAATGCTTTATCTGAAACTAGGAAATGAACTATATCATCAAGATTTCTTTCAAAAGATCTTGCATTACTTCCACATTTTTTATCTCTAAATTATATGAGAAAAAAATTTTTTACCTTACATGCTGTGTTGTTTTTACATTTTGCTGACGGAAGTGAAAATTGAGTGCATTCTGCGAAAAAGAATGTAAATTATATGCATCACTTTTATGACATATGCATACCATTTGTATAATAATAGCGTGAGCATGAGTCATTGCATTTTTGCGCGCTCAATTAAAGACGGGTGCAGTGATTTATTGGGAATTTCATGATTGTTAATGTTTTAGAACTGTAAAGTTCAATTTTTTTTGGCTAATGAAAATCCGGTCTTCTTGTAAATGTTCTTAAAATTGGTCTGTTCAGAAAAGACTTTCAAAGAAGGACAATGGATTTCCAAGAATTTCTATTGTTCTTTTCCTTCTGACCCCCCCCCCCCCCCCCCCCTGGACATCATAAGTGAACGGAATTGTTTTTTTAAAACTTTTTTGCATTTTTAAACTTAATGTTCAAAATGCCAAAAAACAAGAATAAAATACAAATAAAGCTGGCTTATAGGAATGAACTATTAATTAGTCAAATACGCAATTATCTGGTAATATATATGCTAATTCTTAATTTGTCTTTATCTGGTAAGTAAATTGCAAAATCTTTAATTTATTAAATAAGTTATGTCTTTTGTGTTTTAAAACAATAAAAACAGCTCATTAAGCAGTCATTTAAACAGAAATAAAAAAATCTATTTTGCAAATTTGGCGCCATAATCGGGATATTAGTTCTTAAATTGACCTGACAGTAAGGAATAAAAAGCTCAGATATCTCATGTCGAATCGATCCGTTTTGTCTAAGCAACGAACACAGATTTAGTCGAATAATTGAAGTCTATCTGTTTCTCATGTCTTTCATACCTTTTTTTTATTACATTCAAACACAAAGAAGACTCAAATTACTTTTAATTTGAACTCTTTCATAGGTGATTGACGTCACATTCGCAAACTCAAAGGTTATTAACGCAAAAAAAAGTTGTAGATGGTGCTTTAATGAACACCTCATTTATTTTAAGAATTACTTTTTTACTTGGTGGTCTGTTTGAAAATAATATTATTCTAAAAAAGCAGTTCCTTGTTATTGCTTCCAACACGTTTTTGCACAAAAAAATAAGCAGCACTGCTGGAAGAGAAAACAAGATGCAACAAAGTGAGTTTTTTCAACATTTTTTTTTCAATTTCATAAAGATAACTTTTCGAAACCTGAAAAACCAAAGAAAAAAAAAACAATCCCAAGGACATTAAGTTAAATGATGATCTGCAATAATGGCTCATTAGCAATTCTTTTTAAAAAAATTAAATAATAAACAGCTTTTACAGCTTAATAAAAGAATTTTTTATTACAAATTTACTTAAATAAGATTTGTTTTTAATATTAAAACCATAAGACCTTTTAGTTGACTAAAGAACTAAATGCTGCCATTTGTGATTGATATGTAAAATGGTTTTTTTCTCATAATTATTGGCAAAGAATCTTTTTAAAATTAATTTTACTACAAATTAGTCTCAAAGATGTTTGGCCAATGCTTTGTTCATCTGTGTTATTGAATCCTTTTTCTTCTCAAAAGTCTTATTCCATTCTATAACGTTGTCATTATCATCAACTAATACTTTTGTCGTATTCTCTTTTCTAGATGATTTATATGTGTGTTTATAGAAGTTTGAGAATAAGAATAGGAAGAGAACACCATGACCTCCAATCCACCATACGAAAATGTACGAGAAATTGCATGGATTGTGGAAGATCAATTGGAAACAATGACTAAATATTCCAACAAATTGCACCATTTGAAGCATAGTCAAGTATTTTTTCCACCACAGATATTTCTGAACTTGTGGTCCCATTGCAGCGAGCATATAATATGTGTACATGATAATGTGTACGAATGTGTTTAAGAGTCCGAAGAATGTGCTATGACCACCGGGCATAAATTTCACACCCCACCAAACTGAAATAATGAAGACAGAAAAAATTAAAAATTTAGATCTAGAATTATCGAGGTTCAGGTCATGTAGCAGACATTAACTTACCACTGAATGGCATAATTCCATGATGAATGACATGAAGTGTTGACACTTGATCATAACGTTTCCTCAGCACAAAGAAGAATGTATCGAAGAATTCAGTAAATTTACTAAAATAATACCACCAACTGAAGTATGCCATCTAGAAAAAATTAAGCATGCAATTAACAATCATTGAGGCAATCATTTGAATTTAAGACAAACTTACTTTTAAAGCCTGAGCACTGTAGCCTTTGTCCACAGGCTGACATCGATAACTGTAATTTGTGAACCATCCTGACATACCAAGACCCCAAAACAGCCATGCACTCAGCAGCACTTGCAGGAAATTATAAAATACAATAAGCTTTCTTAACTCAAATGGCTTCCTATTGTTCATCAGCGAGGGACCTAAATACTGAAATTATCAATTTGAAGAATTAGAAACTTCTTGCGCAATTAGTACTAATTTAAGATACTATTGTATTATTATTTTTTCTCATTTATAGTCATTGACAGCGAGTTGAATAAAATAAATTATATGCAGCATTAAATCCACATTAAAGTTAAAAAATTATATGTGTTTAAAGGGAAGCATTAACAACTTTCATTAATTATTTTTTATCGCGGTATAAAAGTTTACTCAGCATTGACCTTGAGCAAGTGTAGTGAAATGAATAATTGATAGGAATAATCTCATGCAATCTTAGAGGAACTAGAAGCAAAATCATAAATACATTAGCTTTTAAAATTGAAATCATCGAGTCAAAACTAATAAGTATTCGCACATTAAGAGCAATAAACTTATTCATGAGTATCTCATTCGCAGATTTCTAACCATTAGTAGATTTGAAGGCTTAATTTACGGATATTTCGGTATTTTTTTCTTGAAGTTTTTGTTTGTTTTTACATGTAACGGCATTTGTCACACATTCTTTTGTTTCATTATGACTCTTATGAAAGTTTTGTGACGAAGCTTCCAATTCAACATGGTCAAGCGAGCAGCATGCATAGAATTAAATGATAACAAATTGGCAAATATATACAAAATTTGCTAAGCAGCTTCGTTAGGATGACATTGACAACATTTGAGATATTGCCAATTTGCTGGAGGTCTAGTAAGGTCATTTGGAGACGTCATTCAAGAACAACCCTTTATTGATATGATAAATAAATCATGGTAAATCTTCATTCATTCTAATTTTCTCACGATTGACATCAATTTTGATTGTCTAGTCGTTAATTTTATATATAGTCATCAAGGGCACACAAGAAACATCACGAAACCGTGAAAAATCAAAACATTTATGTAAAGTATTCAATTCAAGTTCATTATCACATTTAGAGATAAAATTTATTCAATTTACTGCAAAATATCCAAGAAAGAAGACATTGAAGATTTTTTTTTTTTTTGATGATAACGAAAATGACACACAAAACGGCTTGTCTCAATAGAAGTCAGTATTCTTTACTTTTTTCATTCATAAAATTCAAAAACAGAGGAAATTTTGTATGTCAAAATTTTATTTGTCATTCATTAATCCATTCCAGATACTTTTTGTTGATCGAAATTTGTTTTGTTGGCTCACGTTTAAAATAATTCGATTATTGCATTTGTTTTTTGCTCGTACGACTCAATTAATGTCAGCCTTATAAAGATAATATTGTGTACATTAAATATTTTGCTCATAATCGAACTCAATTGTTTGCCATTGTTCTCAATAAATAAAGTTTTTGGTATGAAAAATTGTGAAATATTTTAAATTTATATTGTAAAATGTGATAATGAAATTTTCTATTTAAGAATGTGATATAATAATTGATAAAGGCAATTGGTCATTCACTCATGATGTCCATAATTTAATTGGATCAAGATCAAACAGTTTAATTCAAATGCTGTTTAAGGTTTTTGTTTGTCAAGCTGCCGTCGTTTAGTTCAAAGGACTGAAATAATATTGGTACAGAAACAGATATTTATCTAATTGACATGTATCATTTGGTGAAATATGAGTCCAGCAGTGAATGGAATTGAAACATTAAAGATACAAGACTTCCTTAAAATTCACTATTGCAGATTTAAATTAACTGTTAAAGTCAATGTGGATATTATTGCCACAGCTCTAATTAATTACGCACTAATTGGACTGTTCAAGAGCATCTTGTTATCAAATATAAAGCAATGTTAATTAAATATAAAATCCCCTTTTTTAAAATCCGCATTCTCAAGTGTTTCATAAGAAACTGGAACCGTTTCACAGACATTCTAAATTAATAAAAAGAACATTTAACTGGTTCTGTCAGGATAAATTTTCAACAATTCTAAAAATATCCTAAAATATCATAACAAAGTCAATGTTATATCTCATGGAAGTCGAAAACATTTAAAAGCTTGTTTGGCATGTAAAAGTTATTAGATTTGTATCTAAAACAGCTTAACAAAAACAGTCTTGAGATGTGTTTATTATTATTATTTTCTTTTGATTAATAAAGATTTAATAAAAAGCTATGATTCAGTTCCAAATTCGATTCGAAGAACTAAGAAACTGTTCAGTCATAGATTGTGACGAATTTTGGAATTCACAGCCTTAATATCATGATACGCAACTTTTGAATCTTCAGTGATCATTTATAGACATAAAAGTCAAAGGATATTCCCGAAAAGTCAAGAATTTAAAAACAATTCCACAAAAAGTTCAATGAAACTAAACAATTTGTCTACAACAGTCTGTAATTAAATCAAAGTGTAATGCTAATCAATTGAATTCTACTTCCTTCAATATTTACTATGAAAACAATCGGACTCGCAATGACTATGTATAAGAATGTCTAAATAATTCATTACTAATTGCTCGTGTGTGTTTTTCATCGAATGCTACATCTGAATAAATACGATAATTACCTTGACTATGTAGACATATGTTAAGCAGATTATCACAGTTGGTAATGGCGATGACATAAGGAACCAGTCTGTTGTTCTTGGATCTGCTTTGTTTTCCATTAGATCGTACCATGTAGCACTTACTATGTTAGCGATATTCATCTGAAATGAGATTAAAGGAGAAGAAAGTTGAGTCATAAAAGTTGTGATTTATGGTCAAAAATTGTGGTCAAACTTGATTTTTTTTTCAATATTAGTTTTTGCGGAAATTATACCAAGTTTAACAGAATTCTGTGCTTCTTTTGACAAAGAATGTCTCAGATTTTCTCTAAACACAGATGGTCATCTTAATCAGCATTTCCATACTTGATTAAACATTTTTTTTTGTTTACTTTTTGAAATTTGTTAATTATTTATTTCTTTAAAAAGCTATTAAGAGAATTCTGGAGAAAAATAATGTCGAAAGAACGAGTTTTTCTGACTCTTATCTTAATATACAGAATGCAGCATCAAATTCCATATTGTAACGATATATCTTTTCGAATAAAGATTAGTAGATTTGCTTCAAAAAGGATGCAAATTATAAATTTAGAGTCTTTTTAGTGACAAGACATGAAAAACCGGTAAGTTTTTTGTTTTCTTATTTTCAATGATTTTGTGTTGACGTTGTCAGTTTTAGCTTTATGCCCGGTTGATACAAGGCTTTATTTGGAGGATATTAAGAAGCCTACCCCAAGAAAGTAAGTTTGTTAAGATTTTAAAATGGTTCATTTATAAATGAAAGGTTCACTAGAAATGGATATTTGGAACATAACGAAGCTAAGTGTCATTTGAAAATGGGTTATAAAATTCCAGTCAATTTTAACTTTTTTAAAAACATTTAAATTGGAACAATTGAAAACTACAGAATCTTACAGTTCCCTTCAATTCAATTCCCTTGCAGTCCATAAAAAAATAATATTTTCAATTTAAAAAGGGAATTGTCATGTCTGTTGAATAGTGCTCGACCATGGCATTTAAGCAACGCATTTTTATTTAACAACAAGATACTCAAAATTAATAAAAATTATCAGAAAATAAAATTGATTGCCAATCATTCGGATATAGACAAGTTAAATTATTTTTTTAACAACTTCTTGGCTATATTAATTCTTATTGTGACTGGCATGTAATCGCATGTATTGTACCATCAACAATTTGTGGGTAAAAGGGCAATAAATATGGAAAACTTTAAATGGAATTCGTGTAAATATTTTTCCGTACTTGCACCAACTTACACAGTATGATATGAGGTCATATGAATTAAACTATTATGTACTGTTATGAATTAAAAGAAGAAATGTATAAACGGAAATATTAACTCAATGGCATTGACTTCTGATTGCAAAATATCTTGGGTGGATCTTGTTGATTCAGGAATTTTTATGAAAACATAAAAAAGACGTTGCTCTTGATGGCATTTCAGACTAGACACGGTTGTCTATAGTCTTCAACATTCAATCATGTCTAAAAGACAAATCGTCACCATAAAAAAAAAAGATTTTTTTAATAGCTCGAAAATTTATTTCCCATTCAAATTATGAGAATCGTTTCTCATCTGTTGCTAATTGGAGACAAAAGTTCTGACTATGTTATGAACAGAGTGTCTGGCGACATGTAATATTGCTTTGCCGTAGGTCAGTTAAAGTTTTATGAACTGCGTAATACACAAATAAGCATGAGCTTCTGACAACTTTCACAATTTTTTCGTTGTTGTTGATGATTTTTTTATTATTGCTGTTCCATAAGTTTATGGCAAGAGTGTGAATCATTGCCTGACTTGATGCTCTTTTTTTGGGTTTTTCAAGAAAGGAACAATGCTAATCAAATTTTCAAGTTGTGACAAGATATTGAATAACTCTATCATTTAGCAATTAACTAGATTTTATCAGAAAATTCCGAGATTGCAACAACTAGATATAAGCATTAACAAGAATGAACTACTAATGTGTACAGGTTTTTGCATCATTTTACATGTTGTTTGTGTGGTTTCTTTAATGTTGCTTTAAATGGAATTTTTTTATGTGACCGGCATTTGATTTTGTTGACAAATAAGTAAATAAACACAGTCCTTTGCTGCTTGTTTTGTTTTTGTTTGTTGCAAAACCAAAACAACTTAAAACTGCAAATTATGCAGATTTGAAAACAAAAACTTTCCATCGGAATTTTAGAATCTGTCATAACGAGAATGTTAAATAAGTTTGTTTGGAAATTCACAGAAATGCAGATGTGGCTTAATGCATTAAATAAGATCCGAAACAGAAGATTTATAAAAATTTAAAGATGAAAAATTCGATGGCAAACTTACAAATGCAAGAGATTTTTTAACTTTTAAGTGGGTTTTTGGGAATTCCCTGAATAAAATATCTAAAAACCAAATTTGGAGCAATAGAATGACTTTCAAATTTAATGTTAAAGTTCAATTTAGATTCTTGGTATTTCAAGCTAATTCAAAGATTTAAAATCTGATTCTATTTAATACTTGAAGCATATAAGGATAAAAGATTCACAATCAAAATTTAACTTGAACTTGAAAATCATTTTTCTATTGTTTGCTTCAGTCCATCTGTTACTTTATTTTGACAATTTATATTCAAAAAGTTCTTCCTTGACAAACTTCAAAACTTTTTCCTTCCTCAAAAAAAGCTAGAATTTTAAAATTTTTAAATTTTTTTCATAATAAATTTTAATTTAATTAAAGCAATTCAAATTGATATTTGAGTCAGGAAATTGAAGTTGTTGATCATTAAAATCTCGCCGCATAAATCGTAACAATCGTTATGAAGTTGATAACCTCGAAAATCACCCCCGAAGACATATCAAGTCTTAATAATTTTCAAGCATCAAGCTAGACGCACAAAAAATCCAAAAAATTTGGCTATAGTCAAGAAATAAGCACAAGTTGTTTTTTTTTTTAAAAAAATCTCCATTCTTGCTTGTTAAGTGTTTAAAAATTCATTCGATACAGCAGGTGTAAAGCTTTGATTTTTTTTTTTGAGAAGTCATAAAAGATTTTGCAAAGAATAAAAAAAAAATCTTTTTTAATTTATTCTAGTTGATTAAAATTAGCATGATAACTTCTAGGTGGAATATTCCATAATTTTGCCACAATTCTCACGAAAAAGCTCTTATCGAGAATCGTAATAGTAACAGTTCAATAACAAGTTATTATTTAATAATAATCAGACTTTCATTAATAATTATTATGCAATTTACGCAGTCAGAATTAATTATCGAAAAAACATTTTTTGTGCAACTCATTTCCCCCTTACTAAGTTCAAGTTTTCTAGATTAAAAAATAGTAAACAGTATCATGCTTGAATTAAATAAAATTTGTAACTTCATAAAATAATGAAATTCCACAAATTAAATATAAAAAAATTGTTAATCGTATACTACGAAATGTTGATAAAATAGCACGTTTTACTACTGTGTAAGCATAAAATTAAGTTTACATCACGGAAATGCATTTTTTACAAACACTTTGTAACCTTGAAGACGCCAATTTCGATACACACACGCAATAAAGGCATTAAACATTTAAACATAGGTAGCGCAACACATTTTATTTATTCATTGACTGTCACTGTAAGTTTTTTATTTCATATTTTCTTCTATTTCGTTGTCGCACTTGATTAACTGAATGATTATTATTCTATACACTGTATATTGCAGCAATTTAGGAATCTAATGATGATTCCGTTAGTTCAGACACTGCACATTATCATTTAAATTTTAAATATTTTTTGCCTTTTTTTCTTGATTTGAATATTTAAATCCATTAAAGGAACAAAAAAAAAAGATGAAAAGTTTCGGTCGTTATGAGAGATCAATGGTAATTGTCGATATGCTTGAAAGAGAGGGGAACAGGTTTCATCTGTTGATGTTGATAAAACAATAAAAATCTTCAAAGAAAACTTGTATATTTCGATAAGAGCTGTGGATAGGCTACCTAAATGTGTTAATTTTAGGCAGGACAGTTCTAAAGATTCTACTTCGATTCATCAAAGTTTAAAACATAACTTATGAGTCTGTTGATTATAATTTTCATCCAAAAAACAAGTAGATAGCCAGCCCATTGCCGCTACATCAATCAATGAATCCAATGTTGCTAAAGCTAGTCAAAACCAATATCAACATATTTAATGCATATAAAATATGGCGAAAAAAAAATCTGATTCGAATAAATAACGAAGATATGACAAATTATTCTTACATAAACCAGCAAGCGATCAAGATAAAAAGTTAATAAGAATCACATGAATAAGAAGGAGTATCGCACGAGAGAATTAATGTCAAAATAAACTATTTCCATGTGCTGACTTAATTGAAATGCAAACAGTGAGAAGAACATTCTTTATCGCTGCTATGGCGGATATTGAATCGTTTGTCAAACTCATTAGAATTGAAAAAAATAAATTTCTTTGATTACTCTTGGTCCATACATGTAGTTCCGGTAAGCTTTACAGCTGATTTGAAAAGGTAGTCACATTAATATGTGAATAAACATACTCTTCATTCATGTGAAATTGTGTTTGACATTCGACACGACTTTTTTTTTTCTTTTGCTTCTCAGCGTTTTTATTTGGGTTTGTTGAGTGTGATTCGGAAAGTGATGAGCAATAACCTTCTGAAGATTGAAGGAAATATTGAGGCTTTTGCTCCTCGCTTGTTGAGTGTCAATTTCGTTCTATGAATATTCAACAGTTTTATGATGATTGTGAGAGATTTGCTTATGGAAATCCGTTGATTACGTTTGTTGGATTGAATATGTTTATAATATTTTTAAAGTTCTGTTTTGATAACCGAAAATGGCACCTGATAAAATATTTTTTTTTTTTGGCAAATTAACGAAACTTGTGGATTCTTGATAATTTTGATCTTTTATTTTGGAATATATTGAAAAATTAAAATTCTGAAATGGCAGAAAAATCATAAAGACAGGATTCTTGAAGTTTTGAAACTTGGTGCTTTTAGAATGGGGATTCATGCTTGGTGTATCCTTTAAAAACAATTATCTAATTTTATGATTCTTCTGAGCTCATCTACTAGATTAATGAAGACAATCTTAGCTAAGGCTGATTAGAGACACATTCATTGCGTCAAAAGTAGGAAAAACTTAACAATCAATTGAAATTATTTCCCAAATTTTCCCTCCATTCTCTATTTTACCTCAAACTCTCATGAAAAAACCTTAATTTCACCTTCAAACAACCTGATTAAGTTAAAAAGCCAATAAAACTACTGACTCGTATTTTATCGTTGCACTTTTTTTATAATGCGACTTGCTAGTTATTCTGATAATAAACTCTTGCATCAAAAGCACTCATTTGTTCGCTTCGCTTAATTCAATATTTTAAAATAAAATTAATTAAGAGAAGAAGAAAATGAGACTAAATGCTTTAATTGAAATGAAGACATTCATAATTTATTTTTCTTTGCAAATAATGCCTCAATGGGTTACAGTTTGCAAATAATATAAGGTTGTATAAAGTTTAAAGACTGGCAATAAAAAAAATTTTTTTTCATTCAAGAGAGAGTTCGCGATATTAAAGACAATTGCAAGTTATGAAATTAATTTCAATAACGATTGAATTAATTGAGAAAAAAAAAATTGCAAAGAAAATTGAGAGTATTTCAGCATGGAAAAATGTTGTACGCAGAATTTGACCTCGAAAACAAAAAGATCGCACAGACATGAATGTTTCTCAACTTATCCTTGGCAACATCTCAATTAAACAGATCATTTTTTTTCCTCACTTCCATCGAAGAATTATCGAGGCTGTTGTTTTTCTAATTAATTGGCAAAAGCTATTTAGTAAATAAGGAAATAAAGCTACTTGAGTGCTAAGACTACTGTAAAATTATTCATATTTTGTAAAATGTTTGACTATGATCTTCACGTACTTCGTGTTATAAAACTATTTGTGGGTTTTTTGAGCTGTAATTTGGTTTAGATTGCTTAAAAATTAAAGACGGTCGAAGATTTTGATTGAAACTAGTGAATAATTTTGAATTTTAATCTCAATTTGCCAAGATTTTCTTATTAACGATATTTACGAATGTAATAGAGTTCCAGAGTCCATATAAACTAGATTTATTACAGGAAGTAGTTTTCGAAGCAGGAATTTTGAGATTTTTTGATTTTTTTAAGGTTTTTTGAATTTAAATTCAACTTTAGTTTTATAAAATTTGAAATAAATTGGAAACAAAAAAGAGATAATAAGGCATAATTAGATGATTGAGTGAGAAAATAAACCAAGAATAACTAATGACGTAGTTTACAAATATTTTAATAAAGGGTTTGGACAAAATTTAAGCAAATCTTTACAGTTTAACAGGTTTATGTATCAATTAATGATTTAAAATGCAAATTATTTTGGAATTCTGATAAGAATTTTGCTTGATTTAAGTGAATTAAACTATGAACTAAACTTTAAATTATTATTATTAAGAATAAGATTTTCAAGCTTTGCAATTACTATTCTGTTCCTAATAATAATAGTTTATTTTAATCGTCTTGTAAATTAAAAGTATTTTAATAAATGTTTATCAATTTTTTTCCGGAATCAACTCTAATATTTTCATCACTGAAGCCGGCAATAATTTACATTATGTCTATAAAATGTAGCAATTTTAATTTTACTTCACCATCATTCACTCATAAAACTACGTTGATAATAGCCAAAAATTGTTCCCAAATTTTCTGACCCACACTTTTACAAAAAAATTTAAATTTTTTCTCCAAAAAAAATCATTTTTTTTTTGTTTATGGTAAACGACAGACGAAATTTTTCTCCTCTCTTATTTATTTCTTCTTTTATGATCGTGCAATGTCAAAACACTCTCTTACCATTTTCACGATGTGTCTCACACTATCAGCTCTTTTATTTATTTTATTTCCTTTATATTGTCTTAAAAATTTTTTTTATGCAATTTCCAAAAAAAAAAATTGTTAAGTAATATTAATTTTTTTATTGTCTCTTGGACTTAAGATGCTTTATTCGATTTATTTTTAATTTAATTTGCAATCCTTTTCATTCCTTTTTGCACTGCTTCAATAAAAAAATAAATTGAAGGAAAAAAAATCCTCACGAATATTCACTAGTCGGTTACTGTTTTAAGAATGAAACACATTTGCTCAAAAACACAATTATTATATTCAAATAGTCTCCTCACATCTCAAAACGAAACTGTTGACTGTAAGGTGTATTGTATGATACTAAGTATTTTTAATAGTACGAAACAATAAAAACTCTATTGAGGAAATTGATGCGTTCGATTAAACGGCTAATGGAAGACTGACTCGAATATTTAACACTCACATTTTTCATTACTCAGCAGTGCTAAGATATTTTAAAAATCATTAACGAAAATTGCGTCACTTGTTTAGCAAAAAAAAAGAAAAACTATATTTACGGAGCACGTGCACAAGTGCGAGAGTTCTTTTCGACGTTTTCTTCAACACTGGTTGGAAGTTTTGTGTTTTTTTATTTTATTTTGGTGTGTTAAGAAATGTAGATATACAGACATATATTCAACTTTTAGTGTGTCCACTGTCATAAAAAAAAATTCATATATGTACAAAGGGGGACGATAGCTTACATACAGGCTAATAAAAGCGGATCTTCTGGTTTTTTTTTTGATTCCATTCTTTTAATGCACCATCGATTCTTCATTGACATACTGGCATATCCCCATGTGTAAGACAACTTTTATTTCGAATTTCCTTGATGGATATAATAATTTTTTTATCGTCTCGTTCGTGCATCTTTTGACAGACATCAGACAATATCAGGTTTATGTTAAGGGAAAACTGAATTTTTGTTAAGGCCAAAAAAAAATTGCGATGCGAAATAATTGAGTCTCTGAGCACATCTACATTCACAAAAACTGCTCATACTGATCAGTTCACGGAGCACAGCAAAATTTCATCTCTCTAAATATATTGACATAAATGACTAGATTGGACTTAGTAAATAATAATTATCAGATATCCAATGGACTAAAGTATATACAGATATGAATATTATGTGAATGGTGGTGACAACATTCGCGATATGGTGGACGGCATTGACTCTTATTTATTTTTTTTTTGTTTCTTAAAATTATGCATATATCCAAGTGATATGATTCTATTTCTGAAAATGTTAAGAGTTCATTTAGATGCATGCATTAAAAATCAGTTTTTGGGAAGTTTTCTATGCCAAAAATAGGAATTTCCACTAGATGTGACTTTTGATAAATGAAATTTGAGAAATAATCCAAAAGTGGTTCTCTTAGTACAATAAAAAATCCAGCAAAGTCATGCAAAAAAAATAAACCAGAAACTTTTATGACAAAATATAGCGGAATCTTCATCGGATGGCAATCAATAATTTAATCAAAATACGACCACATTTATGCATCAGTAAAACCATAAAAATCTCGATTCTTTCATTGATTTTTTTCCTCATTTTAAACATTTATTTTCAATAAGCACGTGTAAAGATCAGCCGATTGTTTGAATAATTTTGAACCAGTTTTGTCTATGATTATGAACTTGCTATTCTTTCCTTAAACAGCCTCTTCTTTTTGTCATATTGATCCAACACAATCTTAAAGATATTCGCGACTAGAGCATTTAAAAACTTCTGTAAAGTTGACTGACCTGTGAGGATTGAAATTCTCAGGAATTTTAAGATTTACCAAAGTTAATAAGGTTCATCCTTCATTTGCAGTTGCTTTGACTGTTTTTCTTGAAATATAAATGCAGCAATCAATAAAATTGTGAAAAAAATTGTCTTTTCTTGCATGTGGCAGGTCGTTTAGAGAATGGCTGGATATTTTTTTTGCATTCTATTTATGACACGATGTAAGTATTGAAGTTTTGACTTCAAGTCACTGCCTCAGATTTTTTTTAAATAAAATAGAATTTATTTAAATTTAACTTAACTGGAGATGTAGGGGATGAGTTATAGCCATGCTTCAAAATGTCAAGCAACTGTTTGTTACTTGAACTGTCTGTTGGATTCATCAATGATTCTCAAACTATTTTGATTCAAGATTTAGCGAGATACTAGATTCCAAAAAAGTTGAGGCTAGGCTGGAATAAGCTTAATTTTAGCTGACAAAGTTCTGGTTTCCCGTTGACCCCGAAAAAATTCTAAATTATCGACAGCAATAAAACATCACAAATCCTTAAAACCGTATCAAATTAAAATTCCTATTGAGGTAGCGTTTAAATTGAATTTGTCAGGGTGTCTACCTTCCATCTCAAAGATATTCATCACGTGCTACAATTTAAATAAATATTAACTCTTTATCTTCAAGGTTATTCAGCAAAGTAAATAAACAAAGGAAGTAAAGCAGCGCCCTCCAACCATAAATTTCCGAAATTTTTGTTTGAAAAACAATTATTGTAATGATGATCTTGAAATTTTGTCGCCAATTCCTATATGCTGTTTATACTTAGAGATTTTTAGAGAGAAATTTGGACAATAAGGTGCTAGTAAATTGATAGCTATGCGTTAATAGATTATTTGGGAATTCACAGATTCCAATATTGTTGATTTATCAAATTAATAATTGGAAAGTACCTTGGAAATTTTTGAAGCTTTAATATGAAGTGCTTTTCGCATTGTATGTCCAACACGTGTATAAAATACGCCATAATTTGCGATAAAGTCAGTTATAATTGAATAATATTGCGTCATAAGGTGTTTGAAATTTTTTTAATTTTACATATTTGTGGCTGAGTATCGTACTTGGCTTAAAAAATTATGGAAATTAATGAGACTTGTTAAATAATTCCATGACGATTCTTTTCTTAATACATTTACGTTTTGACGTAGCTTTAGCCTTTTGTAAATATGATTGTGAACTTTGATTGATCCGTTGTGAATTTTAGGGCGTTAATAAAATAATTGAAAATATTCGACAGTTCAGGGCTGTTGAAATCATCTTTAATCTTTTTATTATTAACGTTTAAACTGCTTTCGGATGTATTATGAGCTTTATGAATCCTTGAACTTGAATGATTTGATTTTATATAGCTTCTGGTATTCGTATTAAGCCCTGATTCTTGTAACATGAAAATTATCAGTGTAGTCAACATGTTTTTTTAAAATTAAGGTAATCAGGAACAGGCTGAATTAAGTTGCTCTTTGTGAACAGCTAGATAGCATTATAAAGACTGTCGGCCTGTTTCACTAAAGTGGATTATCCTCGATTTCGGATTATCCACTTCAGTTTTTTGGAAATATCTCCAGACACTTAAGATTTTTAAGAGATCTAATGTGTGATCTAGTTAGAGTACTTTGCTACTAAAATTAACATATACTTAGAATTTTTATATCTTCATTAGTTTGAGAATTATAGCAAAAATCGAAGTTAATCTAGTAGATTTGGCTAGAAATTTGAATAATTAATACTTCTTAACGAAAAGCAAAAGTTTAAAGTGTACAGAAATTTCAGGCATAGTTCACTCTATTATAATCCAAAATTAGAAATACCACACCTCCCATAAAGTTTAAGATATATGCAAAAAACTGAATAGGATAATCCGAAATCGAAGATAATCCACTTTAGTGAAACAGGCCGTAAGTTCTGGAAATCAAAGATCAACAACCCTAGAATAAACTTTAAAAAGCCGAATGTTTTTTGCTCTTTACAATCATGCCTGTATCTGACTAATTAAAAATGTTCGCGATTTTAACACCAGCAAAATTTTTTTTTTTATATTTTAGCAATGCACGACTTGAGCCATCCATAAAATTTCACATTCATAATGGAAGTCCTCAATTTGTCTCATTGAATAAAAAAGTTGTGAGATTGACTGCATCAATAAAAGACTAAGACATCTTATCCTACTTTTTGAGTATTAATTAATGATTGGCATACGATTGCCTCAATCCTGACAAATTTAAGGATGGAATTAACCTCAATTAATTGTTAATGGTTTACTAAAGGTCCTACATGATTCACAGTCATGATCATATTTTCTAATTCTACCTTGTTGCTTCTCAAACTACCACATCTCATTATAAAGTACTTCTTATTAAACTTTATAAAGTCATTGCCCTTCCATAAAATCACCACTGTTGTAACATTCATGTGACCTTAAATGATTTTTCTTTTCGGAATATCTCTTGCATCAATCATAACTCATCATTTTCTTATTTTTTAAATATTATGACGTTTAAGTGCTCATGCTCTGTGTTAATGACCGATTTGCATGTGCTCACAGGTGATAATTTGTTAATAAAATGAGCTTTAATTGAGTTGTCAAACTATTGCTTAGATTAATTTGCTTATTAAAGGTCTGCATTGAAAATAAGGTGACTTTTGACTTCCTTTGCAAAACATTAGAGTATAAAGTCCATTAATCTCTTTGTTAAGACAGCAAAGTGAATACATCTTATGCTACACACACAAAATGTTTGTCTTGTCGGTCGATTCTGAACAAGATTTCATGTACAAAAAATTAACAAGAGTTAAGTAGCATAAAATCAACTAGCTCATTATCATTATGACTACATTGTCTATTTATTTCTAAGACTTAATTGATAGATATTTAAGGCAGAAGCATGGGTTGTTAACTTTAAGAATTTTTAATTTTTGAGTAGGGATTTGAAGATCCAGAAGTGGTCAAAAATATTTCTTACATTATACATTGCCTGACATTCGCCTAAGATCAAACACTTAGAAACTTAGACGGTTACTCTAACTTGGAATCAACTATCATCAAGCTTCTAATATGGTTTGGTTTGGATATAATATTTCCAAACATTAGAAACACTTCTAGCTAAGTATGCAGTTTTACAATATTAAGTAGAAGCGTCTTGATTTCGATCAACAGAATTAACTTTACATTTTATAATTGCTTAACACCAAAAAGGTTAAAACTTTGATTTCTAAACAATCTTAAGAAATAAATTTTTTGCAAACTATTGATTCCAGCATATTCCATGTCTGTAATGCAATCTGAGCAGAAAAAATTTAAAACTTACTTCAACATTGATTTCACCTTGGATATTAATAAATTCACGAAGCTTCTTTGTATTTAATGATTTCCTATCTTTTGAAGTATTTATGATCAAAATAATTCGATGAGTAAATGCGAGCTCATTGCATGTGTACAAGAAATAATTTGCTAATAAAATAGCCAGTTGGACTGAAAACTTCCTGAGATGTTGAACAGAAGATTTTTAACCGGAAGAACTGTGGTGAAATCCTTCCAGCAATTCGCAATTTTGAGTGTCATTTGAAGATTCAAATTCAGGAAACCAGAGAAGGTCAATCTGAATTTTCAAATTTTGTTACTATATAATTACACTTTGACGTGTTTTGCTAATTTGGTGAATCCCCCCTGAAGAGAATTTATTTCAAGTCATTCTATTTAATTTAATTCATTAATAGCTTTCTACTTCATCTTTGGTTTAATGCAATAAGAAGTCTTTTAGAATGGCAAAATTTTTTGAATATAATTCATCGGGAAGTGAATAATAGATTCAAATAATATTAAAGAAGCAAGCACTTGTTGATGCCGGATTTAAAAGAAATTATTGTCAAGAGTCTTCTGAACTTGTAGGATTAATACTTACAGAATTGAATTTTGAATATTAAGCAGAAAAATGAATAAACTTCTTTCAAATCAAGTGAAATGTCCGAAATCCAATTAATCAGTTCCAAAGTCTTGGCGGGAATCGAACCGCCACACTCATACAATATCCAGTCACATACTCTTACCACTGAGCTACCTGGGAATGTTTAGAAACTACCAAAATACAAATCATATCTACTTTCTGCTCAGAACATTATCATTGGAACTATCAATAATGCTAGAGGAAGTAACTAGAAGTAACTAGAAGTAAGTTCTGAAAAAAATCTATCGTCGGCATTTATGAACAATCTTAATGAGTTCCAACAGCAAGCTTTACAAACGCAGATGATCATGAACATTATTTTGCAATGGATGTAAGCAATAAGACTTTATGTAGCAAAATTTTTCAAGGCTTCCTTGCAAAATTCACACAATTTTCGTTAAATGGATTATGAACTTGGAAAAGGCAATTTTTTGATTCCATTTTTTTTAATCTTTAAACTTTTCAACTACAATACATTAATTATGTTAATTTTTCGGATACTCGCTTTTTATTATGTCAGCGCCTTTTTCTGCAATCATCATTGTTGGAGCATTAGTATGACCTCGAATATTGGTCGGCATTATACTTGCGTCTATGACTCGAAGTCCACTAATTCCTTTAACTTTAAGATTTGGTGTGACAACAGTTGTTGGATCTGACTCTTTTCCCATTTTACACGTACCAACGGGATGATAAATTGCCGATGAAATATATTTTAAGTAGCATCTCCAATAATTATCGGAATCAAATGGAAATGCGTCACACTCTGGAAATCTCACACGTGTTTCTGTTATTTCATATTTTTTAAAGCTCGTCGTATTCAATAATTTCCTATACTCTCTAATACTCTTTACCATCGTTGCTAAGTCGTCATCATCGTCAAAGAAATTAAGATTAATTATAGGATTATCATAGATGCTTCTGCTTCGAAGTTTTATTGTTCCTCGGGATTTAGGCATAAGAAGTACTGACAATGCAAAGAATAAAGGTGCTATTTCATTTGCTTTGATCAGTTGACTCATTACGTGATCATTGTAGCCAAGATTTTGGATAAAATCTTTAAAATCAATCATTTGTTTGGGAAAACACATGTGGATGTACTCAATATTTGGGATTTTTGACTTTTTGTCATTTGTGTTTATGAAACCTAGAACATTTGAACATCCAATACCTGTGTAAATTCCAGATCTTTGTGATAAATAAGAACTCATTGAGTTGTGATATTTACTAATTTTATCAGTTGGTGCTGAAGATTTAAGATAGTTAAAATATTGAAATGTTATCAGATGATCTTGAAGATTATACCCAACAGGCAAATCAGCTACTTGCTGAATCTTAGAAGGCGCTAAATCTTCTTTCCTTCCAATTCCAGAAATCATCAAAATTTTTGGACTTTCAAAAGAACCTGCTGATAAAATGACTTCTTTCCGTGCTAATGCCTGCATACTTCTTCCTTTAATTAAGAATTTGACTCCCACAACTCTTGAATTGTTGATGATCAGGCGAGTTACTCGAGCATACTTCAAAACCTTTAAATTTGGACGATCTCTGATTGATGATAAAAATGCTCTTGCAGTTCCACATCTTTCTGAATTAATGAGTGTTCCTTGTGCATTAATAAATCCAATATGTTCATCTTGATGATAATCGTCTAATTTCTTATATCCAAGTTCTTTAATTCCATCAAAAATACCAGAACCAATTGCATCAGTATAGCCGTAATTTTCGATACTCAATGGACCATTACTGTTATGGTATTTACTCGTAGAAAAAACTTTATTTCCCTCTGACTTTTTGAAGTAAGGAAGAACATCATCAAATGTCCAACCAGTCAAGTTCCATTGATTGAAATCTTCGGGAGTTCCACGCACGTAAAGCATTGCATTAACTGAACTTGTGCCACCAAGGATTTTCCCGGTTGGATAATAAGGTCCATGTTTGTAGCCTTTGCTTGCCTTTGATGTTTTCATGCCAAAATAGCTATAAGAAACGGATGTGTTCCAAGTTGTAGAAAAGAAATATGGAATCTAATTTCAATATGAGATATTGGGAATATGGTAACAATGAAAAATGTTCACCTGACTTTCCATCGGTGGATCTCCGCCAGCTTCTATAAGCAAGACATTCCAGTCACTTCTCTCACTCAGTCGATTCGCTAAAATTGATCCTGCCGAGCCAGCACCAACAATTATGAAATCGAAATTATCTAGAGGTTGTGCTTTAAATTGTTAACAAAGCGATGTGGGAATTCAATAGTCAATAAAAAATTTTTTATGGATATGAAAAAGTCGTAAAATGCTTTACTTTGCTTAAAAACGGCTGGTCCAAAATCTGCAGGCCATATTGAAGGTGAGGAAAGTGCACATTCGTTGCTTATTAAATTTTGATACATTCCATTGACTATATTGTTTACTGATCCTGTACTTCTCAATATACATTCGTGTTGGATACGACCTGCGCCTTAAGAATGAATTACGATCAATTTGAAGTTGTTACTTTATTGCTTAAATACTTACTGCTTTTTGATAGTAAAGGACCAAAGTCAATGAATGACGATTCATCAATCTTTTCTAGGGCATCGTTTTCATCGTCGTCCACAACTTCAGCTTTATTTTGTAATATCTTAAGCACAATCAGCACAAATGTAAATTTTAATAGCATTTCACTTTAAACACTTTTTTCTTATCAAGCTATTTAAAAGAATCACACGAAATCAGGAACTGAATATTCCTCTTTAAAATCTCGGTACTTAAATACTCCTTTTTTGGGGAAAGAGTTGTAAACTTTTCAAACAAGTTCTTATGTTGGTCAATAATATAGGGTGTCCATGTGTCACGTATTGAATATTGCTTTGAAACCGGGATGTCAGCAAAAATTTGATTTGACTTTCATATGTAGCAGAATCAAATTTTCAGGGTTACACAACCTTATGTCCAATATTTCCTTAATCTTGACTGATACAAAAATTTTAAAAAATTTGATTTTTTTTTATCAGCCAAATTTAAATAAATGGACGCCCAAATAATTTACGTGCGGTTCTGTGGACACAAACACAACAAGTTTTAAAAGAAGAGAGTACCGTATTTTAAGCAAATATAAAAATTGGGTCAATGACTCCTTTTCAGATGGAATAAGATATTTGTCCTATTTTATTTTTTCTAAATTGAATTAATTTGAAGATATTTTTGATAGAAAGTTAAGTTTGTTACTTGATATGCATGATTTTTGGTGAATCACATTTGAAAATAAATATGTTGTCATTCTGTGGATGTATTTTGGCACATCTATACAACTTTATGACCTACATTTTTATTTTCAAAAATGAGTTGAGAGTATCAAAAAATACATTATGTAACTTGTTATTCTGCAAACCTCTTGTGCTGCTTGAGCAGAGTGGAATCTTTAGTGCATGGGGGAAACATAAATGATCGAGGGATTAAGCAATAAACTAGAAACCTTTAACTAAATCAGATTTGAAGATGTTGATTTGATTCCCAAACCATGTTCCGAGGATTAATACTGTTAAGTGTCAGTAGTAGCATCTATCATGTCTCGAAAAGATGAACTTAAGCTACTGATCTGCAGCTGACGTTTGTGAAACACTGACTTTATGTTCACTAAATTACAAGAATCTTCGACAAGTCATCCTCAGGCTTTTTAAAACATTTATTAAGTTTTTTCGTAAGCATGTAAAAAATGCATAAAGTTTTATGGCAGACACTCTGCACAATTCACATGACTTCTTGTTAAATGGACCATGAACTTGAAAATTTTCCACTTGCTTCAAAAATTTGAAAAAAATATTTGTAATATCAATTTAATGTTTAGTACACGGATACTAGCTTTTTATTATGTCAGCACCTTTTTCTGCAATCATGATTGTTGGAGCATTTGTGTGACCGCGAATAAGAATTGGCATAACACTTGCGTCAATCACACGATTCCTTTAATCTTAAGATTTGGTGTGATAACAGTTGTCGGGTCAAATTCCTCTCCCATCTTACATGTATCAACGGGATGATAAATTGTTGATGTCATGTGCTTAATGTAGCATCTCCAATAATTGTCAGAATCAAAAACAAATGATTTGCGTTCGCAAAATACAGCACGTGATTTTGTTATTTCTTAACTTTTAAAGCTCGGAATATTCAGTAATTTTCTATACTCCTTAGCTCCTTTCATTAGTGTGACTAAATCATCGTTGTCGTCGTCGAAAAATTAAGATGAATTATAAGATTATCATGAATGCTTCTGCTTCGAAGTTTAATTGTTCCTCTTGACTTCGGTTGATGATAGTCAAAGAAATTATTGGTGCTACATTGATTATTATGCTTGTTTGCTGAACTACGTCATAGTCGAGAGCAAATATTTGTACAAATGGAACAAATCCAATCATTTGATTTGGTAAGCACATGTGCAGATATTCAATATTTGGTGCTGACGAATTTTTATTATTCTTAAGATGATTCTTAAGTTTTTATGTTGGTCAATTTATATGAATTTCATGTAGGACGACCATGAATTTATTATAAAATGTAAAATTCATAGTACTCAGCAGAGTTTAAATTCAACTAAAATTTGTATGTACAAAAAATTCATCAATTCTTTTTGAAGTTAAAATTGCCTATGGAAAGTTTTTTTTTAACATTCTTAAGTAAAACGTTTTAATATTTTTGAAAATACCTACGTGATTAAAACAAAATTTCTCTAATCTATTTCCCCCTGAAAATTTAACTACCTGAAACAATTTGTTGAAAATTTCACAAAATTAATTGATTATTAATAGGAATTTCTAGATTAAATCTTATCTTTTCAGTTATTTTGTTTTCAAAAATTTTTAAGTCTTCAGGCTTAGATTAAAATGCAATTGTATAATAAATACTAGTTTCTATATTAATAGTTTCAAAAACAATTTTAATGACGCAACTGAAAACACCATTCCAGATTTCAATCTTTTCAAACTTATGAATGAAATTGAGCAAGAATGAATGTGAAAAATATATTTTAAGTCAATGTTAAAAAATGCAAATTCCAATTAATATAACGTAAATAAAGTTTACATGTCAAACCAACTTCAGCAATAACGTTTTAGCGACAGTTTTAATTTGTTTGTTCATTCATACTTCAAAATTGAAGCATCTCTTTAAGTACATATGTAACTTGATTCCAGAGTTGTTGACTAATATTCAATTAACTTCTAGATTCCTAAATGCTTTGAAACTTCAACTTTTTTTTTTGTGAAGGCATTGATTTGATTTCCGCCCTAGACGAACCTTACAATTATTGCATATAGTATTGTCGATTAGTCCTCGAATTTAAAATGCGTAGATCATTGTTAAAGAATTCAAATCAGAAAATCTGCTCTATTTTCTTCATTCATTTAACAAAATTTACAATATCCATCAAATTTCCCCATCGATCATGAATCAGAATTATTTTTATCTTACTAATCTCATTTTAATACCTCAAACTCACAAAATCTGACATAAGTGCGAAAATCGAAAAGATTCAAAACACCAGAATAGTTCACCGACTCTGTACACAATTCGTCATTTCGTGTATGGCAAATAATTCAACTAATCGATTGTAATGAACGACCCGGAATGAGTGCTTTCAGCAGAAAAGCTCTTGTCTATATTTTAGAATTTTTATATTAAAAATGAAAATTAAATCAAATAAAAAACATTAATTGTGAGGGTCTTACTGACGTTTATATTCAGCAAATGTTAATTAAATTCTAGCAAACAATTGAATGGACTTTAGGTCTTTAAAAATCCAATATGCATGTTCTTAAAGTTGAAAATAAGCTTAAAGCAAACAGTTTTTGATCAAAAGTAATTTGCAATAGCAGCAAAAAAAAATCTCGTATTTACTTGTATGTGCTCCTTAAGAGATTCTGTCAATGTGTGCTTAATGAACAATAAAAAATACAACAAAATCACCGTGAATTGGCAGAAAAGTATCGACGTCATGAGCCAATGAAGATTCCTTCTTTTTGTCGGGTACGTAAATACTCAAGTGAATATTAATCTGCAGACTATTTATAAAATATTCCATAAAGTGTGAGCGTAGTCGCAAATTATTGATTCGAGATGACGCATTGAGGAAATTTTGTCTTGGTGAATGAGAATACAAAATAACAGTATGCAAGATTATTAAAATATTTTAAGCACATTTCAATGTTGAGACTCGCAAAAAAAATGGAAATCGATCTTTCGTGGCCTTAATTTAAGTTCCTTTATATCGTACTCGACCTTTACTTGATCTTCAAATTAAATTAATTGTTTAAAATTGTCAATAACTAGGTGTTTTAATAAGAAGAATCATTGCTTCCTACTCTTAATCTCAAAAGGATAAATAATGACATGTGGATTTACATTAATTAAATATCCATTAACAAATTAAAGTTTAACAATTTTGGCACCTTGTAAATATATTTTATTCCATATTAATATTATTAAGTGACAATATAGCATTTAATATAGATTTATTTGAGTTGAGAGTATCGCCGAAATGTTAAAGTAACTATGTATTAGTGCTGATTTTTTCAAAAGTTATTTCGCTTGGCACTTAAGTTGAACAAGAAGTGATTATTTTAGCAACTTGATCGATTATCGCATAAAACCACTTTATTCATGAGCCTGAGGCTTTAATTCTCAAAATAGACTAAGTAATTAAGTCAGTAGTTCTCAAACAATGCTCATGAAAAAATTAATGAAGAATATATTGTTCCACAGCTTGAAAAGTTTGAAAAACACTGAATTATAAAAAGTCAAATTAAAAAGGACTTCGGAGCTTTATTTAAGCAACATCTTATTGCCTTTATAATATCTACAGATGTTGCTTGATCATTTATATTGCTGAATATTTTTTTACTACGTTTTTCTTAACTTGCTTTCTTATCTGTTTGATTGTCGAGGGCAAATCTTGTAATCGATTTTTCGACCACTTCTACTGCTCCAATCGAGCTCAAATTTTTAATGCACACGTATTCCCGGTGACAATATAATATTTTAATACTTTGGAAACACAAAAATGTTTAATTATAGTACAATTTATGTAAAACTTTTTTATATGGGAAAAAATCCAATGTCAATGATATAAAATTTTGATTTGTATTAAATATTATACTTGTGATGCTCTAAAGTCATTTATATGATTCATTATAGTTTAAATAATATTACTAATTATTAATTATACTATAAATTTGAGCAGCTAAAGATATTCTGGTAGGACAAAAAAAATTGACAAGTATTTTTTTCATGAATATTCGTAAGTGAAAATTTGAATTTTCAAAAAAACCGTTAAGCTCAAGTCCGTTACGAATTAATGCAAAATAACTATTAATATGCAATGTGCATTTAGCACACATAGTTTGAGCATAAATTTATGCTGTTTTAAATGTATAACACTTCACCAACTTAATTAAATTGACTTTTCTTTTTATTAACGGCTTGACGTATTTTTGCATAACATATAAATGATATTCATTGAATTTAAATTTGAAAATCCGTTATAAATACGTTACATATGTGATTTGCATCTTTATGTTAAGAATCCACACGTTATGAAGTAGAAATGGTACAGATAAACACAAAATCTTTACGAGTGATTTTCAATGTACTTTACTAATGAATGCTTTAAAAAAATTAAATTTTATAAAACGAATGAAAAATTTTGAAAGTCGTTACTAATTTCCCATTGAAAACTGGTAATTTATAAACAGTTGAACGTAACGAAGTGCAACGAAGTGGAGTAATTTATAAACAGTTGAACGTAACGAAGTGCAACGAAGTGGAGTAATTTATAAACAGTTGAACGTAACGAAGTGAAACGAAGTGGAGTTCAACACACCTGTAACCTATGAACCTACTGTAATCTATAAACAGTTAAACGAAACGAAGTGCAACGAAGTGGAGTTTAACACACCTGTAACCTATGAACCTACTGTAATCTATAAACAGTTGAACGTAACGAAGTGCAACGAAGTGAAGTTCAACACACCTGTAACCTATAAACCCTCTATAATCTTTATTTCTCTATTTCATTAGAATAAAACTAAAAAGTAGAAAATAAAATACTTTATAAAAAAAACTTTTTAAAAAAACTACGTTTTT